AGGGCCATCTCGTCCACTCTCGGCAACTTTACTGGTTTATAAATCCCATCTTCTGGGCTTTCAAAGGCTCCCCACCTGATATAAGAGCCTCATCAAATTAAAACTTGGACTAAAAAGTTAAGGTAGAGGTGCTAATTAAATATATGCCGGTTCAAAAATGTACTTACAAAACTTTCATTTGGCGTCTTCTCCGCCAAGGATAGCTATTGAAAATAAGAATGTCTGCATCTGTCCAATGCCTAGCATGCTTTTCAATTGCCTGGAATCTAACAATTCTGTCTGGTACCCGAAGGTTCACTGGGTCATCGGAGTTGGATTCCACCAGCAATGGAGACCAGCAGAATTCAATTGTTGCATTATATTCCTTAATAAAATTAATTACTAAAATTTAGCCACTGTAGCAAAGATCACAAAATGTAAATTATGAGATGAATAAGAAAACCATATAGTCAATGCTTTGTAACAGCCAAAACCAAGATATTTCCTGCTAAATTACCAACAACTACAATCTTTTGGAAATAATAAAGACTCGTAATGGCCTTGAAAATGTTTATTGAACCATTGTTATGCATGAATTTGAAGGCTGGAAAGATGGCTGAATCCACCAGGCAGACCATCGAAACCCATTGGTTTCTGTTGAGCGACTCCCCAACTAAATTAAAACAAGCCTCTTATTCCTAAGCCTTTCCGGAAGTGATGTGGCATTGAACCTTATTAACATAAAACAACGAAACATTCCACAAAACTCAAAAACATTGACAAATGCAATCTTAGAACCATCATCATCCCTGTTTTTATATGTTTAATTCTCATGGATGTAAATATATACTAGTATATGCGCATGTGCGGTATGGAAAAACAAAACAGAAGATATTTATGTATGGGGTGTGTGTGTGTATAGATAGATATTTACGTATGGTGTGTGCATATATATATATATATATAAATATATGTATGTATGTATGTATGTATTAGACATAAGAGAATGAGACCTAAGGAGGTCACATTGGCGAGGTTGCCATCTCCAAAACTGATAGTTAAGGTCCTTTCTCCCAAACTTCTCACAGATAACTGATCAGATTATTCGGATATAAACGTGCATTCTTGTCTTTGTATAGAGGGTAAGGTTTATTATCAAATACCCACTTCCCTGACAACAAATTGCACCTTGAAGCCACCTGAGCTTTTATGTGTAGTACTCCCATACTCGAAGATTTATTCATTGCTTTGTCTCATCAGATAAATAGCGGCGACGACTTGAATGAGAATAAGAAGGGCAACAAGCGATTGGAAGCTGCTTCTGATACCCCATGCTGCAAGAACCTGCTGCTTCTTCGCCATATTCTCCGCTCTCTTTGCCTTGTGCGTAAGTGTGAGTGAGTCTGCTTTCCTCCTCTGTTTCCTCTTTTTGAGGTTAATAATTTCACAGCGGTTGGTGGCAATCAGTTTTCAAAATTTTTTGTTTTACCTTGGATAATGAGAAGTGGAAGTGCAAATATCCGGTAGTTTGCTGGAAGCAACAGACAAGAATTCGAGCTGTTGGATGTTACGCATAATTCCAAAACTAATTTACTGCATGCGTTTTCGTTAATGTTAACCATGCAAATTCCATCAAATTCTCTAACTCTTGTTTTTTTTTTTTTTTTTCTTTCTTGGTCATATATATGACGCTAAAAATGGATTTATTATAAGACACAGTGGATGGATATGTAGGCAATTTTGAGAAAAGGGCAACTTGGATTGCTAATTAGCAAAGCATAAAGATTTTTCAGTCAAATAAATATATGGACTTTCGGTCAGGTTTGTTGGTACATCTCCAATTCGTTGCCTTGAAGTTACCTCAAGAACTTCAAAGCTGATATAGTCCTTGTCTCTTGCCCTCTCAAAGGGATTTGATCCTTACTTTTACTTACCATTTAACCGACTATGTCTAGCCGTTTTTGAGAATGACGGTAGAGTGAATAGTACGGTAGTACTTATACTCTGATCGGTTTAAAATCCTTTCATATCGGCTCACATCATCAAAACATGAAATTAGTACTATAACTTTGCAGCTATGAGAGGATATATATGATTATGCTGCCTGCCCTGTGGTTTTCTTGCATATTGGATGGCATGGCAGCATCGATATGGTTTACAAACATTTTCTTTCATTCTTTTTTCTCGAGATATATATATATATATATATATATACATATATATATATGTAAATATAATTGTATTTCATCTTTTGTTGCCAAAAGTCAATAAAAGCATAGAAAAGGGTATGGCACCGATAAAATCGAGTATATATGGGAATTACATCCTCCAAAATTAAAAACCAATCTCATAATTATTGACTCATCCCCCAAAGCTCATAGAGTTATGCCAAATAACTATTGATTGGTGTGCTCCAATATTAAATTGTTTCCTCTCATGATTTGAACATGCATATGTATATATATTTTATTATTAATCTTGGCTTGGCCCTTTGGTTCTGGATAAGATTTGAAGATGGAGAAAAACGCCCTTGAAAAATCATAAGCCGCATGCGTTACATACAATTTATTTACGTGTATTCATGGAGTTAATTTTAGTTTTGACCTAATACTAGCTGCATGATTTTCTATTTGATTTATACTATATACATATATATATGATTTCTAGTTAATAACATAAAAATTTCTATAAGCAAAATTAATTAGCATCATATACATATAAAATTCCATGCAGGAACTGCAGCTATATATATATATATATATTATAAGTAATATAAATAATTTAGCTGAATTATATACATATATCTGCAAAATATTATTTTTTAAATATATATCTAATCAGCCTGTTTTTTATTTCTTTACATGGAGGATTAATATCCTTGATATATAAATCATGGCCAAGTTTCTATGGATACTACTCACTTAATTCAGATTACTGTCAACATTGATCCATATATAGATGAAAAGTTTATCAATACAAGGTCTTTAATTTTGAGATTTTGGAAAATATTGAGCCGGCAATGCGTGCATATTGGCTTAAAATATATAGATAGTAATTTGTTTTTGTAAGTAGCTAGGTTTATGTGGATATGTATAGTCTATAAAATATTTCCGATGGAGAAGTAGAAGAATGGGATAGCAATTGGCATGGAAATATGGTGATGGGAGTAGCAGTTATTGAACGAAAAAGTCCTAAAGAAAGAAGGAAACTCCATTTCATGAAGAAGCATAGGAGATGGGCTGCGTGAAAGCATTCAAAAGTAGACAATAGTTCACACGGGATCATTAAAATGTATTCCCTTTTCCTTCCCACTTGCACCCCAACTTGCCATTCAAAAATCCCGGCATTTGAGAAAGAAAGAAAGAATGCAAGTTGCACTTATTTTAACATATAGATAGAAAAAGAGACAGAATGAATGAATGAAAGAAGTAAACAATTTGCAACTTGGATCTTCCATCATTTCTTTTAACAACTAGTTGAGTTATCAAAGTCAAGTTGCAGCAGAGAGAGAGAGAGAGAGAGAGAAAGGCAGCTGTTGGATTCCTTTCACGTTATTAGTAGTTGAGAGCTACATGCTTCTGTCCAATGCAATACCCGAACTAGAAATATCTAGGTTACAAAAGTGTTCTTTTTCTTCACTTTTTTCCCCTCCCTCGGCCACCTAATTAATCTTCAGACTTATTTTGTTTGCTTGCACCTCAATTTACTAGTGTATATATATGTATATATATATATATATATAGATATATATATATATGTTACAATATCACATCTTTGGATTATTATTGACCCTTTTCAGCTCCTGCCTGGAAAGAGTAACGTTCATTTGAATTGACTCACATTGCTCTGGTAAGAAGGGCATCTTTCACCAACTTTTTTACCGCTGAAAAAAAACCCCCTAATCTCAACTCCATTTATCAGATCTGAGGATAGAACTTTATATCCCCCCCTCCCACCCCCCACCCCCCCAAGACCAAGAATCAGATTAATGCAAGCAAGTAATATTTTAACCGCGGTTTTACTGGACCTACTACTGCAATGCTCCAATGTTCACCGTTAAAATTGAAAACGATGTGAACCGCACGAGTGCTGACTTACCCTTGGAAAATTCATATTCTTGTCTGCCTATAAACTGCCAACTTGCCGACCATTTTCCATGATGCTCTTCCCTATTTACTCTACAGAAGAAAGATAAAAAGAAATGCCCCCTTTACCTCCACTGCAATTTGCAAAAGATCGATCCCAAGTTTTTACCTTAATTCCCTGCACTAATATTCCATCAAAAAGAGCTTTCATTTTGCTCCCAATTATTTATGGTGAATCAAAACCTCTAAACACATCATGAGCATGCAACTATCTTCCTGAATTTACATCGAGCAAAACACATGCTCCCCATGGTCCTGCTAGGTATTTCGTCTTTTTCACAAAAACCGGCCCCAACTAATTTCCAATTCTAAAAATTCAAACCCTCCTTCCCCCCCCCCCTCCCCCCCCAACCCAAAAAAAAAACTACTACATTATTTAATTTGTTGTGCCGAGACTGAAATACTACTACATTATTTACTTTGTTGTGCCGAAACTGGATGATATAGGCTGCTGCCGAAGCTAGCCATCGCCAGAAAGCCCCCAAGTACTTCCGGATGATGATTGATGAAATTCAAGATCTTCCCTTTTATATGGAAACTTAATACTATTAAAACACTCAACTCCTCTGCTTTTTTTTTTTTTTTTCCGATAAGTAACACCGTTGCTTTTTTCAAACTAACACTGCCATTTTATTGGTAATCTCTTGCTGTCTAATGCATCACCATACCATCTTTCACGTTATCCTATATAATATACCTTCCCAATTGTCTCGTCCGTTACGTTCAAGATTGAATATTTAAAACTATATTGGTTATTTTATTCTTATGGTGAATTTTATACAGTTATATACAAATTGGAGAGAAAAGTCGGCAGTAATGACGGCCGAAAACAGTGGAGGCTAATATATTTTTAACAATGGAGTGGTGTGTGTACTTATTAATAAAAATTCATAGATTAAAGAAACATGGTAAAAAAGAAAAAGAAAAACAAACAAAAGATGCTGATCATCATGAGAAATGATAAACATGAACTTGGCAGTAATGAGATTTTCCATCGGCGGCCCCATCTGACACTCACAAAAACTACGGCGTATCAATAAAGACTCTTTTTTTTTTTTTTTTTTGCTAATAACATGCAGTAGGGAGAGAGAGAGATGAAGAGCTTCACTCACGAAAATGGCTTCTTTTCCTTGTTTTCTATTTGCGCCTGGCTAGATTCTCTGCGATATGAGCCAGTGACTGCAGATTGCACCGAACAATGGTGTCCACGAACACACACGTGTCATCCTTAGTGTTCCCCGGAGGTACGTCCACCAGGTATGATTCCACCACGACCGTTCCGTTCCCGGCAGACGAAGGGTGGAGGGTCGTCACCGACCTGTAGTTAGCTAGTCGATGGTCTCCACCGACGACGCTGAAACTGAGAACATGACGCTCGTCGTCTAGGATCTCGAGACGTTCGGTGCTCCTGGCGGCAGGGAGGCCCGAGATGACGTGGACTTCACGGAGGGTACCAACTTCACCATCCCCAACGATGACGTTACAGCTCTTGACGAAGTGCTTGTAAGCCTGGGGGTTATCAAAGCGGCGGACCACGGACCAGACGATGGAGATGGGGGCGGCGATCTGCTGGACGACGGCTGAGCAGCACTGGTTTGGTCCAACGGGGTGGGTGTGATGGCGAGCAACGGTATCAGGGACGGGCATGGTGCATGTTAAAGGATACGGCTTTTGGCAAAGCATGGAGGAATTATGAGCTGTAGCTATAGTTTTGGTGGTGGAGATAGTGTTGATTCTGTGGAGCAAGACGAATGACTTAGGAGGAATCGCGGGTATTTTTATGGTGTAATGTTTTGTGGGTGAAATGGTATTGCAAGAGCAAGAGAGGCAAATATGGGAAGAGAGAGAAGGGAGATGGGGAGGTGTTGGGGTTAGTCGCTTTACAACTCGGAAGAGGAGATTTTTCTTTTTCCAGTGGGTGATGTTCTGAGTATAGAGAGAGATAGAGAGAGGTGGGTAAGTAAGGTGGGTGGGTTGGATTTTCTAAGGAAGAGTTTTTAGTGAAAGTTCATGTGGCCTAGTTGCTCCTCTGAATATTTCTCCTTTCGTTTGAATGCTTTCAGATCACCCCAATGCTTCTTTTTTGCTTTTTTTTTTTTTTTTTTTTTACTTTCAATAATAGAACTATAGAAGGAGCGACTAGTAGTTTTTTATTTTTATTGTGTTACAAAAAAAAAAAAATTTTGTCCCTATAAAGTAAAAACTCCTTTACCCCTTTTTCTTTTTGTTTAATTTTTATTTTAAAGAAAAAGAAATTCATTAAAAACACTACTCCGTTAATTAATTTAACAAAAAAAATTCTTTCTTTGCCCATTCACCTACAAAATCTATAGCATTGAATTAAACATTAACATTCCTACTTTATATATAAAAAGAAAATGACAATATTTGGAAGTGATTAACTTGAAGCACAACTCTTTTGTTTTAACGTTTAATGATAGATGTACCATCATATATGTAGTAATCCATTTACATGCCTAGTTAATTATTTATGTTTTTAGCATTTTAGACGGAGTGATTTTGGGTACTACTTGATTAGACAAAAGAGAATAAATTAGCACGTTTCCCAAGCCTAGACAAACTTGTCCAAGAGAGACTAAAAGATTGGAACTTGTCTGGAGCTGCCATGGCCTTTGCATGTTGCAATTTGATAAGTGGTCCTATGGCAGGCATGCACCTATAGCTGCCAAATAGAAGTAAAAAGAGCCCTAATAAATGTAATTATTGAAAGAGATCTAAAATTGTTTTTGTGGTCCATTACCGTTTGAAATTGTTAGTTGTAGTAAATTTTTTCTTCTTTTGAGAAGATAATTGAAAGATGCAGTTTGCAACAATGTTTTAGCAGAGAAGGTCATCCGCGTCAATTCAGAGAGTGCCAAATTTCGTAAATGTATAGGAAATAGAGGGTCAAATGCTAAAGTGAATTTGAACAATAGAGCTATAACTTGAATAAAAATATAGGTCATGTTTCATCCGAATAAGATAAAATAATAATTATTTATTTTATATTTATTTTATATTTAAAGAAAAAGATTAAATTATAATGAGAATTAATCTTTTTTTTGTGATTCAATCATCTCAAAATGAAAAATATTATTTTTAATATATTAAATTAAAATTATATATCTTCTTATATTTTTAAAAATTATATAATAAATTTAAATTATAAAGATTTTGAAAAAATATAATTTTGACTAATAAATAAAATTATTGTATCATAATTTTTTATATATATGAAATACCGAATAAAATAATTTTTTTTAATTTTATTTTATTTATAATATATTTTTTTTATTTTATCTTATCATAATCGCATCAAACGACAGACATGCCAAACTCATTAAGCAAGATATGCATACGGCAAAAAAAAAAAAAGAAGGCATTTTAACGAAACAAGAAAAAACAAATATACATATATATATATATGTATATATTGTGGGAAAATTCTTCTCATTCTCTCAGTCTCACTCTCAGGTCTCAGCCTATTATTTAAAAGCAAAAAAAAATTTCATGCTTTGTATTTTATTTTTTCAAAAATTAAGAAAGTAGCAGGAAAAGATGCAACAGCTACCTACGTTTAACGGTTCCATGCCCTTCCAAAGCAGCCGTACGTGTTTGTTTTACCATTCCTTTCACTAGTGCTGCTTTAACGTGATTCTTTTCTTCTCTCTTATCTTTTTTTTTTTTTTTCAATTTTTTAAAATTAGCTGCTGAGTATAAAAGCATGAACAAGAACAAGTTGGAGGGCGCTTTAGCACATGATCCTCAGGTAGTCAGATACAAGTCGTGTGGGAGTCTGGACGGGGGCCGGTCAGACCTGGGATTATTATTATTATTATTTTTTTTTTTTGGTGATTGGCAGATGTGGACCTATCGATTGATCCATTCGCGGATTCTCATCCGTGAGCATGAGCATGAGCTCCCCATGTTATAATAAAAGTCTTTTTTAAGCCTTTCTTAATCTCTTCCACACCTACAAGGCCACTACTTGGTCTTCTTTCTTCTAAATCGATTCATCTATATATATATATATATATATTCTCGTCATCTTTCAAACATTAATTCCTTCTTATCACCGGCTTCTCCTTAATAACAAGCCCTCAAACTTTCCTCTCAATGTTGCAGTCTTTTTAGTTAAGCAGATGGACACTTTTTGAGTCTTCCATATTAAAATGTGGAAGAGATAACAAAATTAAGTACTTTATTGAGACTTGTCGATTTCATTTTTGTGGCCATGCATGCATGGTTTCCAACATATATACGTTGATGGTCAAAAAGCGAAATCCGAAAAAAGAAGAAGTACAGATGAGTTGAAGATTGTGACTGACGCCGGATATTTATTTAGTTGTCTAGACAAGGAAAAATACCTAATGGAGCAAAAATTAGAAAAGCGAATAAATTGTCAAATAATACATGGAAAAAAGTTGAGAATATTGTTTCGAAAAACTAATCCTAAAGTAAGTAGAATCTAGAAAGTTTATAATTAAACAACATGTACAACTCAAACTGCTTCATACTCGATGTTTGTATAATATATATATATATATATATATTTTTCTTCCCTTTAGTGAAAAGAAACTAATAAATTATTGGTTTCTTACTTAATTTGTATATTGAATTTAGGACCGAATGCAATGCACCTAGCTAGCTAGCTAAGGTTGATGAAATTAATAGAAATATAGAATAAATGATTGAAAATGCATGCATGAGGGGAAAAGCAAGAAATGAGTATGCTTTCAATTCACCATGACCTGGTTTCAGGACTAGCTAGCAGCTATGACTTGCGTTGCTTAGATTTAGGCCCTGCAGATTTACTTTCTTACGGGGGGATGGGGTTTCGAAGCTTCTTTAGATTCCCTGGACCTTTAATTTTATTTTTTTTTTTAATGTTTTGGTTGGATGAGATCTATAAATTAAATTTGGTAATAGCAGTACTAGAAGAGGCTGTGAAATGTAATGTGATGCAAGAAAATTAGTACTTAATCAGAATTGACAAGTGAAGAGAGGAAAGCATTTGATTTTTTTTTGGAGGTATCAACATGAGCGGGCTTTTTGAATGAAGGAAAGGAAAGGTGAGTTTGAATACAACTGATCATGATGAGAAAAAAAAAGGGGCAATTGTTATTTTGATTTTGAAGTCAGAGCAAGAAAGAAAGAAAGAAAGAAAGCTTCAGCATGAATGAAGCATTTCTACTCCCACTTATAACAACATTTGTTTCCGGAGAAGTAGCACTTTAACTAATTAGGTGTTTTAGATTATGTCGCTCTAAACTAACAAATTATATATGGCAAATGGTGGTAATGTAATTAAGCCAATAATATGTATATGTCAACTTTAATACAAAATCTTATTAATCCTATAAATGCATTTGTCTTTATAAGTGATCAAATGATTTTTACTATTTAATGACGTAATTAAAACCTATTAATCCCCCTCCCCTTATAATCTAGTAGAAAAAATAACCTATTAATATATTGTTAATGATACACGATCAACACAAAATAAAAATACGGAAATTAAGTATATACGATGATTTATGTCTTTAATTTTTTTATTTATTAATTAAAAAGCTCTTAAAAAAATGTAAAAATCTTGATTCTGAATCAAAATCTTTCTTTATTCTTTTTATGAATTATATTCATCCCATGTACCAAAAAAAGTATATAAGATGATTTATGTCCAAAATCCCCTTATCTAGACTTATATATATATATATATGAAATGCATTTATCTAATCAACAGGCAAAATAAAATTAGATAAAAAGAAGACATTAACAAGATCATGTGTTTGACAATGCCCAACAGCGCCAAACTCTGTAAACATTAGAGCATAAAGTTAAAAGGACAATTCTTTTCAAAACAAATTCATATCACATACATTATCCTATCTGGTAGTTACTCACAAGGGGTCAACTCAATTATGAATTGAACAATTTTTTTTTCTATCCAAATTCAATTATTAAGGAAAATATTTTGAAATTAAAATTTTAATGTATCAAAATTAACGTGAAAAAATATATTTTAAAATTTATTTACTAAGTAAGTATATTCAAACAAAATTTAAATATCTTTAATCGCATTAAAAAAAAAAACTATTTGATAGTTGATTTACACAACAATAAATTCAAAAATTAATATGCACAAAAAAAATTTTCTTTTTTATTTGAAACAATGCTAAATTAATTTAGTGAATAATTTGGTTTAATCTAAAATAGGATAGTCAAATCAATAGTACAAAGATTGAATAATAGAAGTCATAGTTAGTTTATATATTGTGTTTTGGGTGTTAATTTAGTGAATAATTTGGTGTTTCAGAAATTAATTAAAAACGTTTGAGTTTGACTTTTACATGTGCATAGAACAGTTAAAATAAAATGCTAGGAAATTGAGCAGGCAATATTTTTTTTTTTTCCGAAGGAAACGTAAGAGCAATTTCTAACTAACCAAAAGTCTAGAGGGAGAAAAACAAGGACCCTCTTTCCGATATTATCCCTTAAATAGATTCTAAGGTTTCTCTTCCATCTCTTTCGACGGACAGAGAGAGAAGGCTAAAAATTGGGATAATCGAGCTTTTGATATCGGAGGGGAAAATAGATAAATGGATCAGATATTGAACAAGGTGGGCTCCTATTGGCTGGGCCAGAAGGCCAACAAGGAGCTCAATTCCGTCGGCGACGATATCAACGTATGCTTTTCTTTTTCTTCACCTCCCCCTTTACTTGCTTCCTCTTCAATTTTTCACTTCAATTTTCGATTTTCACCCCGATCTGGTCAAATATCTGGTCAAATCGTTAATTCGCCCAGGATTCCTTGAGGAAATGTTTCAAAATTGATCTGTACGATTACTTATTATTATTATGTAATTGTAACGGTTTATTTGATCAAAGAAAATAAGGTTAATCTGCTTACTGGACAAAACTATCATTTCTGACGCCGTATTTGTTTGCTGTAATTAGCAAAGACAGTTTTTCCCCTTTTTTGTTTTTGGCAAATTTAATCCTGGGAATGATTAGAAATAAATTTTTTGATTGTTTCGCATTCGATTATGTGCTAAATTTCCTATCTTTGAAGAATAATATTACCGCAATTTCTTAGGAAAAAGCAAGTTTAGTGCTAGTCAAAGGTGATGGTTACAATTCAGAAGAAATGCAGTCTTATAAAATAAACCCTCAAACAATATTGTACATCTAAGAATTCTTAGGTCATTGTTAAGAAGAATGATATATACTCATTTCATGTTTTCTCCAAATGCAGCAAAGCTGGTATGCTGATGAATATATGTTCATTTATCGATATTGCCGATTGTTTGTAACATTCTTAATGCTAACATTCTCTTTTTGCCCCTTTTAATCAGTCATTATCCACCAGTATTGAAGGAGGAGCGAAATGGTTGGTTAATAAAATCAAAGGTTTGTCTTTTACCTGCTGAATCATTGTTCTATTTTCTGTGTTAGTATTTTCCATGTGAAAGATAGCTTTGTTGTTATGTTATTCATTAGGGTAATTTCTAAGCAGTTCATTGCTTGTGCTTTAAATAACTGATTTAGGACGACAAGGGTAAATTCAGGTAATTGACTTAGGTTTCGGGTTTGTGTCTTGGACAAAAAATGGGAATAAGTGAAGCTTAGACTTCAGAACAGAGAATCCACATCTTGATGAGTTTATTGATTAGCTAAAGTACATAAACCTGAAAGAAAAAGATGCTAACTATTAGTCTATAAAGTAGTAGGTTTTGGAACACCAAGTGGCCACCTAAATTGTGATAATGCTCGATATAGAGAATGCCAATAAAAAGCTTCTAGTGGTTTTCCATAGCCCAACTCTAATATCAATAGATCTTGATTGTCAAAAAAAATAAAAGAGTTGTTCTTGTGATAACTTATAATATTTGCAGAAAAACTACCATTCAAATATTCACATGAAGCTCTATTTCTGTCTGTTGGTTGGGGCTCTTTTATGGTTTTAATTGTGGAATATGAGGCATTCATCTTGATCCTTTATTTAATAGTATCAAGATATATATTTGAATGTACTGTAGTTCCTACGACTTTTGCCCCCGAAATTTTGTCATTGGTACCAATATTTGGCCTTTTACAGGAAAAATGCAAAAGCCATTGCCAGAGCTGTTAAAAGAGTATAACCTGCCAATAGGAATCTTCCCTCGTGATGCCACTAACTACGAATTCAATGAAGAGACGGGAAAGCTTACTGTTTTTATTCCAACAATATGTGAAGTGGGATATAAGGATTCATCTGTCCTGCGATTCTTCACCACTGTTACTGGGTATCTGGAGAAAGGAAAGCTGGCTGATATAGAGGGTATGAAGACAAAAGTGATAATATGGGTAAAGGTAACCAGTATCACATCTGATGGATCAAAGCTCTATGTCACTGCTGGAATGAAGAAAACCAGGAATAAAGAGGCTTATGAGGTTTCTAGGGATGGTTTAAGTGTAGATAAGTTCTAAAGTGGTTAGAATGCATGTGGGAATCCCATTTTTATTAACTAATTTCTCATAGCTTTTGAGCCTTCGTACTTTTGTCTTCATAAATTATAACATTCAAGTACAAAGATTGGTTGTCTCTCCTATGGTTATTATTGTGGTAAAGCTTTACTCTGTTCTGCAGTGAAGGTGGCAATGCCATGTTTATTATATTAATTGTATGGAATTGGCACATTAAGGGTGTAGAACCTTGGGTATAAAGTTCTTATGAATTGTATGGAAGGTCCTTTGGAGGTTCTACGGGCACTCTGTTTTGAATTGTCTGTGGTGTTACCGACCCATGGCACTGAATGGACCAGGCACTTCTGTGAAGGTCCTAGGCTAGATCTTATTTTGACATTTGTAACCAAATTGTGACAAAAATTTCGAGAGAGAGAGATGTGAGCGAGTATTTGTGTGTTATGGCCGAAGCTCTGTTATCAAATCTGTAAGGACTTACGTGCCAGCAAATGCTCTATTACTTCGTTGCCAGAAAATCCTTCTTTCTTTGCACGGAAAGGAATGAAATATCATTGCATCCGACCTTGAAGCCACAAAATATATAACTTCTATTCATATTAGTAGTATTTCCAACCTAAGGAGAGGATATAGATGCGAGGCAACTTACGAGGCATAGCATTCGCTATTGCCCTTTACGATCTAGAGCAAAGTTGACGGCTAGCAGAGTTCTGGGCCCGTACGGTCAAGAAAATTTTGACAAAATATATGCACCAGCCGGGAATCGAACCCGGGTCTGTACCGTGGCAGGATACTATTCTACCACTAGACCACTGGTGCTTTGAATGGACATTTTAGTATTTGGACTTTTCACTCAGTACGGAAAACCATAAGCTTACTGGCAGTTCGAAAGTTGATCGAGGATGGAGCTCCTCTATAGTTTTCTTCTTTTATCCACCATTTTTAACCAAGATAAGAATATTAGTTACAACGTTAATGAATATAAGTTTTGCAAATTAAGGCGCTTTCTTGATGCATAATGTAGCTGAGTAAATTATACTTGAACTCTTTTTGCGGCTCCCAGAAATGTTGTTTGAGTGACTCGAATTTCTCTTTGGCTCCCGGATATCCCGATTCTTGAAATGTCAGGTGAAACAACATGACAACAATTGGTCATGCAGATTCACAAAATTTCAGACATGCCAGGGAAAAGTACCTGATAAAATTGTTGAGACCAGTTAATCTTGCAATTTCGCGGCTGAAGGTGTCATTTTTCAAAAAGATTGACTCCCATCTCTTTCCGGTTTTTTTTTTTAATAAAAGTTCGTTTGATCAAAGAAAGATGAAACCACAAAAAATTCGTTCCATCAATGAAAAATTGGAGCAAAAATTATTCTTATATCTAGAATTGGTCGCTATTATTTACATCCCAATCAGATAAACGTTTTGTCCTCCAATTCTTCGTTGCCGTGGGAGGAAAGTTCTCCTAAAAGCTTTAAGAAGACAAGTCCTGTCAAAGTTACTAAAGGTTTGCACACGAAAGGACATAATCTATGTAGGCTTAAAACAGAATCTGAATCTCCAATAAAAAGGCCTTTTGCTTCTTCTGGTTTTACGGCCATTTGATGGGCAAGAAGAATGAATCATCTTCCACATCACTTGTATATCTTCGTATTCGCCACAAGACTCCATGTCCTTGTAAAGACTTAGCAGCCCCTGCCTATTCCCTGCCATTTTTGCCATAAGCTTTGGTTAGAACAAGCGGATATTAGCATAGAATCCAATACATGTGCAAGCGCTTTCTAAACATATACTATCAGGTTTAACTCCGTAGACAAAATAAAAAAAGGGGGCAAAAAGAGATTTACCTTTGGCCTTCGTTCTGAGACGCGTGGTGACCTTTAGAAGAATACATTTCGTTGGAAAAACAACTGAATGTTTAAAGCGAAGCCACCCCTTCCACTTCTCCATCTTCAATTCTTAACGTTTCTCCTTTGCTTCTTCTCTTATTTCCTCCATATATATATATATATGATCCATTTATACCGGTACCTGTGTAATGTTACATATTTTTAGTTTCTGTATCAAAATTAAATACATCACACTTACACTTAATCATTTTGATTCAAGAATAAAAAATGGGTGTAATTTCATTCCTAAACTTTCCGTTAGCCATTAGTTTAATGCTGGTAAGCAAACCAACGAAATGCATCCGAAATGACAGAAAACAACAATTACCAAGACGGAATAGTCTTAAATTCGATTTCACTATTAATACTGTGTAGCCTTAGTTTCAATGTAATGAAATCTAAGTCCTACTAACTTTAAATTATAAAATGCAAAGTGAGAGGGAAAAGGAATTACTAGCTTGAATTTCTACCATTAAGATTTGTTTGCTTACTAATCAAAGCATATTAACCACAGTACTGCAATGTAACAATGACTGGGTTGGTTAATAATCAAGATAGAAGTTGATAGCTTTATCCTATGTAATTACCACAAGCATATGTTTGACAAATGAGGGATGGGAGGGGAGGCTTAGTACCAAATAAAGGAGGGGCAAGAAACAATTAGAATGGTAAATTTCGATTAATCTATGAAAGATTAAAAAAAAAAAAAGTGCTTATTGGGAAGAAACCGACAGTGAGCAGGCAAGTTCATTTGGACTTTGCATTTCCCATGTATCCATCCTACCAAAGATTCTAGTTTCTGAAAATTTGAAGGAAAGAAGTGATGGGGCCCCTGGTCAAACGGTTGGTTGGATTTTCTTTCAATGCTTTTGTGTTTGTGTGGACAGTTCACATTCAGCATTTAGAGATATTTTGGACTAGCTGAAATGGAGTGATAACAAGAGGTATTAGATTAAACAAAAACTTAAATCAAGCAAAGAGTTTCAATAAGCTTTAGTTTAAATAAATCAAAGAAGATTAGTTAGAAGAAGCATGGTGTCATTGGATCCTCTTGGCATCGCCTTTTTTTTTTTTTCTGTTCTGCTTGCTTAATCTGCTTGGCATTATCCATGGAAAGAAGACTGAAGCATGTGCTTTGCAAGCATTTCTGGTAGTGTAGTCTCTTAACTACCATCCATGACAACTTACCAACTCTATTTCTTCCACCCCAACTCTGTTCCTACGGTTATTATCTGTTTTTATTCTTTCCTTGATGAAAAATTCTACTTCACCTAGCAAAGCAAAGTTGCACCAAAATCTGCACTTGGTAGGACGTAATCCAGTAGGCAAATATATAAGCAACCAATCTAGACATTCTCACTTAAAAAAAAGCATAAATAAGCCGCCGGAGAATTGGAGATAACTTGTGAGCTTAGAAAAGTATGGTCTGGTTTTTAGTGAAGATTAGCATTTGCTTGGAAACTCAAATAAAATTTTTCAAAATGACTAATGATGAGGCGACTGAATTCAAAGTATTGTACTCAAATGACATATCTATTTCTTATTTTAAGGATTTAAGTAAAAAGACCATAACAAAATTTGCAAAACTTGCATATGTTTATCTAAGTGTATGAAATGTATGTTTCAGCATATAACCTTTTCCTCAAAATAATGCACCCTGGATTCTCCTCACTATTTTATTTAGGGTTCCTCCTACTCTTAACCCAATCTATTGTCAGAAGCGTATCAACTAGCAAGAGACTCAACAAACCAGAAAGGCGCACACGTTTGTTTTTGATACATTTCGCTTGCATTGCTTACAATGAAGAAATATTGCATTTAGTTGGGAAAGGAATTCATCCCTAAGAACACAGAAAAAGAGGGCAAGGAGACTATGACTTAATGAGGAAAGGAAATTTAAACCAATGAGAATAATATAGCAATTAATAACACTTGAATATCAAGAAAAAGAGTTGAAATTTTTCATGAGAGAAAAGGGTGGAAGCGGCGGCTCCAAATAAACCAACCAGAGCATTAATATTCACGAAAACATCCAAGTATTCAATAACTAGTCACTTACATCACCCAATAGAAAGACATAAATTGCAAGAAGAAAATAGTTCTCAAAAATTTTGCTCGTAAGTAAAAACAAGAAATCTAGTATCTCCAGAATAAGCTACCGCAGCAAAACGTATCTGGATATCCTATGCTAAAGTTTAAACAGCATTTTGGGCTGCAAGCCTCTTCCTAGCTTCCTCAATGATGGATAACTTAATACCCTTGCCCTTAGGCAGGGACACCCATGGCTTCGTTCCTTTTCCAATTGTGAAGACATTACCAAGTCGAGTTGCAAACTCATGCCCAGCAGCATCTTGAATATGGATTGTCTCAAAGCTACCCTTATGCTTCTCCCTGTTCTTGATTACTCCAACACGACCCCTGTTCCTTCCTCCAGTGACCATGACAACATTCCCGACATCAAACTTGATGAAATCAACAATTTTGTTGCTCTCAAGGTCCAGCTTGACGGTGTCATTTGCCTTGATCAAAGGATCTGGGTAGCGGATAGTGCGCCCATCATATGTATTAAGATATGGAATGCCTTTCTGGCCGAACTGGACAGATCGAACCTTGCATAGCTTGAACTGCAGGATACAAAAAGGCACATTAACAATATTGTTATAACTAACAGGGCAAATAAAGTAGAAAAAGCTTGAGTGTTATCATACAAATGTGAAAAGAGCAAGCTGATAATAAAACCAACAGTCTACATAGAGCATTCAAACCTTAGTTTCATCACCAGTGATAGCATGGAGGCGAAAACGCCCTTTGGTGTCATAAAGTAGACGGAAGTCCTCATTTGTTTTAGGAATGGACACAACATCTAGCAGAAGGTAACAAAGCATTGTTAGACAAGATTTGTCGAGAATATTTTTGGAAAGGCAGAGAGAGAATGGAGTCAAATCCTAGAAAAGGGGCTTTCAAAGCTAATCTAGTACAAGCCAATGAATAGTATCTAACTACTCGATCTAAGCATCCATTTCATAAAATTATATTGAAAGTGTCAGTCAATCAGACCAGTGCCCACAAAGACTTGATAATAGTATCCTGAAGCCATGTGGAAAACAGATAAACTAAACCAAATAAATTTCATTCAATTAAATACTTTGTGTATTGGGCATAAAAAAGATTCAACAGAACCATATCATTCAAGGAAATAAAGAGAAAGCACACATACCCATGAAACCAGCGGGATAAGTCTTATCTGTCCTAACCTTCCCATCTACCATAACATGCCTCTGCATGAGAATAGCAATGACTTCTCTATAGGTTAAAGCATACTTCAATCTGTTTCGCAGAATAAGGATCAGTGGCAAGCATTCCCTGGACTTGTGGGGCCCAGATGATGGCTTGGGTGCCTGCATACGGGAAAAAAAAAAAGAACAAAATTAAAATTTAGAAGAAGCAAGCATGTGGATGGGACAAAAATGAGAACTGAAGGAATAAAGAAAAATAGTAAACTGGTATGGATGTGAAAGAATAAAGAAAATAACATACAAAAGCACCACCAAGCTTGTCAAGCATCCAATGCCTAGGGGCATTGAGCCGCTTCAAATGTTTCTTCAACCCTCTAGCCTGCAACGCACCACAAAGAAAATATATTGCAAATGAAACAGAAATGTATCAGATTTAAACAGTCTAGCCTTTTAAAGTAATACAACAAGAAGTCAGTAGCAGAGAATTAATCAAAGGTTCCATTCAAGGCCTTCCTACCTATCAGACAAATCACCATTCTATATCCACAAGGCCTAAATATCCGATACTATAATGAACAATGGAAATAAAAGCAAACCCAGATATCAATAAATATTCCAAATCAATGAAGCAAGACGACTTCTTTTGTTCAGAAAACAAGCCCGGAAGGTATCAAATAACAGTGATTAAACAAACTAATCTGGAACATCCTATTCCATTTAACAAGAGCAATCAACAGCAGAACCACGTAAAGAATTAGAAAATCAAACATGTTAGGTAAAGCAGAAGAAACTGACCATCCGCGGCTGCTTTAGCTCAAACTCTGTTGTTTTTTAGAGACGTTCTTCGAATACCAAAACCCTATGACTCCCAATTATCGATACGTCTCTAGGGCATTTAAGGGTTTTCAATACGATATTGAAGTGGACGGACCGTGTCTGCCAAAAATGAAACTTCGTTTATGGCCTATTAGCCCTTAAAATGAAAAAAGTTTGGGCTCAAATATAGCCCTCTTTTCTCTTTTGGGCTGAAGCTAGCCCAAATTCTTTTGTGAATATAATAAAGTTGATGCATTCTCTTCGTATATTCTAAGACTGCATTGAGCCAGAATATTAGGAACATTAATGGAGTTAGGGAGAGTTATTTTTGTCACCTTCAATTCTCTCTGTCTATATATAAATATATTTCTTTTACTGTCGTTTCATCCATTTTGATCATTGTTTTAACAAATACCATTTTTTTTTCTTTAAGAATTTAACAAATAGTTAAGAAATGTACTTAACAGAAGAATTACACCTATAAAAAAAAAGAATTACAAGTAGGCATCCCTGCCAAAAATAAATTACAAGGAGAATTATATTAAAAAAAAAATCAAATCAAATACAAAAGAAAAGTAGAACGCAGTAGATGTTACAATGAAAAGCAAACACCAAAGTGACAAAATGTGAGGGCTTCGCGGATTGAGTTCTATAAAGTGACAATTGGGATGCCAAAATCAGATTCTATAAAATACTAGTAATTCATTCCTTTATCATCAACACTTGTTAATCTTGAACAATGTGAATCAGAATAGTGGCCTCATCACTCGTGGGAGCTGCATCATCTGCTTATTCAGCAGTCTATAAAACACAAATATAAACATATCCATAAATTCCCAAAAACTTAAAGCTAAAGAAAAATAAAAATTTAGAAAGTTTAAAGGGATTATGACGCCATAAGAATGTACCTGGAAGAGATGTGGGCAAATGGGAAACAATGCTATCAATGATTCCCCCTCCACCGCTCTCATCTGCTTTCAGATCTGCTTTGTTTTCTTCACCAACTTTCACCATTTCTTCCTTCTTGTTTTCCTCAGTACTTTCTCCTACTTCACCTTCAGAGTGGTGAAAGAGGTTCGAAACAATATTGTTGATGAACCCTCCTCCACTTCCTGCACCACCACCCACTTCTTCCTCTGATCCGAAACCTGATTCATTTTCACTTCTAGCATCAAAAGCTTCAACTTTTCCTTGAATGATGTTTCCAGTTTTTGGACTTAAAGGAGTGACCAAGTTTGAAATAATATGATCTAAAAGCCCCCCTCCCTTCTCTTCATTTTTTCCTCCTTCAGGGATTGTCTCCTTGCCACCTTGGTTAACTTCATCAGCATCTCCTCCTGTAACCAAGTTAGAGATGAGATGGTTAATGAATCCGCTAGCTCTTTCTTCCCCCTCTTGTTTAGCTGCTTCAGAATATTTTCTTTCTTCGGTAGCTTCATCTCCTCTGAGTTTTGTTGGATGCAACAAGCTTTCAGCTTCAGGCACAACATCATCCATCTTTTATGCTGGTTTCGTTCGTCAATAGGATTGATTAAGGGCTAATGAGAACTGAGAAGTTTTATTAGGGAGGGGAAGGCAAAGGGCAGAATCGTCCTTGTACGAAAAGGATTGTTTAAAGGAATGGTATGATTACACGTGCTTCGTAATTGTTGTCTAAGGAGCCAAACCGGCCAACGACAGTTGGACATGTGTCGGCTTGCTGGAGCTTTCTCGAAGCGTTTTATGATTTCCATAAAAGGTCAGTGGAACTGGAAAACCGCCCTGTCAGAAAGACCCTGCTGTTTACAGATAGAAACGGTATTGTTTAGCATAAAAGAATTAAAAAAAAAAAATTAATAAGAAATGAACTCAAACTGCTTTGAGAAAATGAATCATGGGAGAACGCTTTTGCAGGAGGTGGGGGAAATTAGAGGCGTTCTTAGTTACTCTTTTTATTGTCATGACCATGATTTTGGACCGGTAAATTTGTCACCTCATAGCTGAAATCATTTGCTTTTACGTTAAGAAAGGAAGAAATTAAGAAACAATTCTCCACCAATTTGTTGGCTAACACTTAAGCTCGGAAAATCATTGACTTCCCACTGTCGTCTTCAGTTTATCAGTTGTGGGAAAAGGGGGCAAGAAAGTTTAGCATTTGCCCCACCAAGGGCTTCAATCAAACAGTCATGCTAAAAGAATAATTTGATTAATCAGTATTTGGTATCAATACATTGTCAAAGCAAGTGTATCGCGTCCTGGGTTCAACCTTGGTCATTATGGTGTAAGTTACCTACCTTTTCACAAGAATCAGAAACCATCTCGTTTCAAAGATGTATGGTGTTGTTTTTCTATACAGAAACTTTTATGATATGGTAAATAGAAGGTAACATTTTGACAATTCCATATTTTCCATGAATTTTTCATTTCCATCGGTCAAATCTTTTTATTGCTTTCTCTTACTTCTGATGAGTATGGAGTAAGTTCTACAATTGGATATAAACTGATATGCAGCTTGAATTAGCGTTTGTCAATGAAACTGCTCATATTAGTCCACCTCATTCCTATATTTCATGGGTGGTGGTGAATAACCAGTCAATTGGAAACGTTAGTTCCTTCAACATTTTTTCTTTTCAATTCTTTCACTTTCTCCATTTCAAGATCCTGCCAACATCTCTGCATTTCCTTTGGCAGGATCTTGAAAATTTGCTGCTTATATCTGCAAAGCATACAGAGGCAATGCTGCACCTGAGAGCTGCAAGTCACTTCCATGAAATATCTCAACTCAACTAGTAATGCGAAGAACTTGACGTATTCAACATCGACAAAGAAACTGCACAGCCGCTGATAGAATTTGACTCGATCGGCAAATATTCTGCCTGGTTCATTGCCATCTTAAACCTTTGTTAAGGATGCTCACTGGTCTTAGCTGTGGGCCTGTGGCTGATTGTACTCACCCTGTTTGGCAAGTTATAGAAATACTGCGTACATCACATGCGAAGATATTTATCAAGAAATCACTATCTTTTGCATTAATTTTCTCAACATATAGGTTCATATTTGACCTTAATCAACAATACGACAAGATGTTCTAGCATTAGGTTTGGGATTCAGAAATATGGGGATTTCTTAAAACGGATTCTGGACTCGAGATTGTATATGAATGATTGGCAGCTGGCATCAAATTTGGAAGTTGCAGAGGAATTTGAACAATTTTCACTTAATGAGCAAATGAAAGAATCTCACTAATCTTAAAACGGGAATTTGCCAACTGGTCAGTTAGATGAAAGTTCAGACCAACAATTTAACAAATGAGGATTTGCTTTCATAACTGAGTCATGAAAATTGCAGTTAACCAATTCCACATTCCAATTTTGAGACTCAAAGCATTATGCAAGAAAGGAAATTAATTGTCTTTAATATCATCAATGTAGATAAGTTAAAACAGCCTGTTCAAAGGAATGAAAGCTGATGCTCTGCAGTTTGGTGCTTATAAAAACAAATCGATTCATTTTCTCCTCTAGGCATTAGCACACTCTTAATCAACTTAGAGTTTTGCATAATCAGGTTCTTAATTAAAACTTCCTATTTTTTCTTAATAATTAAAGCTTATGGTTCGGTGAGGTTGGATAAATATAGAAAGCATTCTTTTAGAGTCCAAACATAGAATAAGGATGCTCTATTCCTTGAGTTGGACCTTTGTGATTTCTTATTCATGGTGACATGCTTCAGCTTTGCCTTTGATTTTGTCCCTCGACTCTATCAAATAGTGAACATGACAGTAGCAGTAATATTGAAATAGACATCAGCATCGTCATCTTTTCCTTTGGGTGTTAAACTTGAACCATATTAAATTTTTAAAGAAATAAAACTAAAGTTCCAAGAAGTTTGTCTTCGCTTAAGTTCATATAAATCAACCATCCGATCCCTTAGTCACACATAGAGGGGATAATTACCTGTTGGCAACTAAATTTTGCAGAAAGAAGGTATTCAAAAGTCAGAAATATGTTAAGACTGAAGATTTTGCTCCATTGACAGGAGGAAATAAAACCTTATAGTTCTCCCATAGAAAGCACAGATCAAAGCAATTACTTCTCGAGTTGGATCATTAAAATGCAATCCCATAGCATCACAGATTAAGACAGACAATTCTAAACCCACATTAAGAAAAACCAATGAATTAAAGACTATTATGTATAATTAATTTACTCTAATGATTTGCATTTGTTCTTCCTCTCATCAACACGCAACTTGCATGTGATTCAAACCTGTTTTACGTTTAAGAATGCTTGAATGTCTCTATCACCTAGGTGCAGGTTCCACTTGTTACATGGCTTAATAAAAGTGAAAGGACACTATCATCTATACAACCAAAACTCAACAGGGAATCTAGTAGTTATCTCAGCTATATATACCTTCGCATATTGGAGGTTCAGCATTGTGCAAAGCTCTTAAAAAATGGCATATCTTCAACTATTCTTCTTTATTATTGTGGCTTCTCTTCCATTCATGTTTGTTTCTCCGTCTCATTCCTCTTTAGATTATGGTAATGTTAAGACTTTGTCTCATGCCAAAAATAATGAGAAGGTTACTTTGTCTCTGTACTATGAAACTTTATGCCCATATTGTGCCTCCTTTATCTCAGATGACCTTGTGAAGGTCTTCCAGAGTGATCTTAATACCATTGTCAATCTCAGGTTGGTCCCTTGGGACAATGCTCTCATTGTTAACAATAGAACCCTTTGCCAGGTCAGATGTCCTTTCTTCTTCTGAATTTAATTTTTTTTTTGCATGATTAATTATGTACATTTTGTGCTGTACTTCATAGTTGTTTATACCTTTTGTCTTTTCTCTTTTTTTTTTTTTTTGTTTGCAACAATGTGCAGCATGGGGAAGAAGAATGCTACTTAAATACTATACATAGCTGCGTCATCCACCTCTGGCCTGATGTGGTAATATTCAATGAATCCATGACTAGGAAGCAGAAAGTAGAGATGAAGTAGATGCATTTCAGTTCATCTGAAACTTCTGTTTAACTGTCATGCAGAAAAAGCATTTTGAATTCATTCGCTGCACAGAGCAACAACGCTTACAGCGGGGGTCAGTTAAGACCAAAGAAAAACTGTGGGAAACTTGCAGTGAAAATCTGAAATTGAGTAAGGACATAATCAAGGAATGCTATAAGAGTGGATATGGAGATTGTTGGGATTTGCCTTGAATCTCAGAATCCCACATCGAAAGTTAAGTAAGTTTGAATTTGTCTTGTATCCCACATCGGGAGTTTAGTAAAGGTATAAAGGGTTTCACCCCTATAAATAAGATGTTTTGGTTTTAGTTTAGTAACCTCAGAGAGTTAGACACCAAGAGAATAGCTAAGTGAGTAGGCTATTAAAGGGTGTAATTAGGTTTTGCGTTAAGTTTTGAGTAAGGAGTTTTAGGAGACTTTTCTCATTCTAAAAGTCTCACAATTGTAAAGATTTATTTGTTAGTGGATTGTGTTTGGAGTAGGCCATTTTGAGTTGGGCCGAACCAAATATATTTGTGTGTTCTTATTCTTGATTTGAGCTTGCTGTTTTATGTGTGGTTGCTGCGCATGGGTGTTGTTTTTCCCAACAAGTGGTATCAGAGCGAGGTTCGTGGGTCCAAAAGATTGTAAAGCATTGTTTGAAGATGTCCTGAAGAAGGTATGTCTAAGTATGTCTAATGCCTAATGTTTTTGAGATTCCGTTATTTGAGTGGAAAAAGTAATTTTAGTTATGGCAAAAGTACGAATTCAAGATCTGTTAGTACAAACAAGGGTTGGATCAGCATTAGAGAGTAGTAAGCCTGAGGGAATGTCTGATGTTATTGGAATAGGATTCAGAAGAAGGCGTTAGTAACTATTAGATTGGCGTTAAGCTCCAGAAGTAAAGTCAGTGGTGTTTGACTGAAGAGTACTTCCGAAAAGTTTGTGGGGATAGCTTGAAGTATTTATGCTTCGAAGTCGTTGAACCTAATAGAATTATGTTTTGAAAGATTGGATTCTGTATTCTCCTGCAAGATGGAAGAAGGTAATGAGTCTTCAATAATCACCTGAATGAATTTAATAAATTGGTTTCTCAATTGTTACGCATTTCTGTTGATGAGTTAAAAGATGAAGAGAAGGCTTTAATTTGCTGTCATCTTGCCCAAGTCTTATAGGCCTTTAGTTCAGACTGTGTTGGTAGGCAGGTCTACTTTGAAGTTGGATGATGTGACTGCCCTGTTGCGTGAGAATGAAAGGTTTATGGGAGCTCAGAACTCATCACCTGGGGGGAGTACACTAGCTGTAGAGGGTTTTGATCGAGGGAGGACTCAAAAGAGGATTGATGGATCAAGATGGAGATCCAAGTCAAGAGACAGAGATTACAGTGATGTAGAATGTTATTATTGTGGTGAGAAGGGACATATCCAAGTGCGCTGCAGGAAGCTGAGAAGGGATATGGCTGCTTTCAAAAGGGCGAATGATGAGAAGAAATCAGATGAAGAAAAGAGTGATACTGCTGCTGTCGTGTCTGATGATGATGATGTTGTTTTGACAACTTGTGTAGATGAGACCCAAACTTTGAAAAGTGATAAAAGTTGGGTTTTAGATTCAGCTGCTACAGTTCATGTTTGCAATGATAGGAGCTGCTTTGTGGAGTTGAATGAGAATGAAAAGTATGGGGATATTGTGATTGCTAACAAAGAAAAGGTGCAGATTCAAGGCATTGGGAGTGTTCGCCTTAGATCTCACAATGGTGTTATTAGGACACTTCGTCATGTAAGGTATGTACCAAATTGTCACTACAATTTGATTGCTTTAGGTGAGTTATCTTCTCGGGGATACACATTTTATGGTAGTAATGATTGGTTGAAAGTGTATAAGAATGGTAGTGTGATTCTACAAGGGAATAGGGTCAATCACTTGTACATGTTTGATGGAAGCTCAGTTGCTGGAATGCCTGTGATGAAAGAAAAGAAGAAAGGTAAGCATGTTAGCTTTGCAGATACTGTTGAAGTGTTTGGAGATTCAAGTCAAGGGAGGATTTGTTGGGATTTGCCTTGAATCTCAGAATCCCACATCGAAAGTTAAGTAAGTTTGAATTTGTCTTGTATCCCACATCGGGAGTTTAGTAAAGGTATAAAGGGTTTCACCCCTATAAATAAGATGTTTTGGTTTTAGTTTAGTAACCTCAGAGAGTTAGACACCAAGAGAATAGCTAAGTGAGTAGGCTATTAAAGGGTGTAATTGGGTTTTACGTTAAGTTTTGAGTAAGGAGTTTTAGGAGACTTTTCTCATTCTAAAAGTCTCACAATTGTAAAGATTTATTTGTTAGTGGATTGTGTTTGGAGTAGGCCATTTTGAGTTGGGCCGAACCAAATATATTTGTGTGTTCTTATTCTTGATTTGAGCTTGCTGTTTTATGTGTGGTTGCTGCGCATGGGTGTTGTTTTTCCCAACAGAGATAAGGTTGCCCGCATCTCTTAGTAGCATTTTATCATGTGAATATAAAATTTGGCAAGAGTTTGTTCTCTAGACATCTACATCTTATGGGGATTAATAATTTAATATGTGCATCTTACGGTTCACTCTCTGACATTGAATGCAAATTAATATGCAGCTTGAGCTACAATATGCTAATGAGACTGAAAATCTCTATCCACCTCATGATTACGTGCCATGGGTGGTGGTGAATAATCAACCAATCCGTGATGTAAGTCTCTCTTTCTCTCTCTTTGTGCGTGTGGGGATCCAGTCTGTGTCAAGTAACTTCAATTTATCATGGTGCAGGACTTCGAAAATTTTGTGAAATATGTTTGTCAAGCTTATAAAGGTGATCATGTGCCAGAGGCTTGCAAAGCACAATCGTCCAATGTCAGCTCAACTAATAAGAAGGCAAATAAAATCCATTTGGGCTGCTATGGTAATGAATTTAGAAACTTGGAATCATCAACAGCAGCAAAACAGGCACGGGAATGAAATAAAACCTTAAAAGAGTCCACATGTTCCTTCATCACCTTGTCCTTTGTTCATCTGGCTCACCTACTATAATAAAACCAGCTGCTTGTTATCATTATTATTGTTTTATGACATGTTACAGGTGATATATATATATATATATATATATATATATATGATTGTTGTTTAGCAAGTATGAATGAAAAATCAACTTCCATTTGCTTATATTATTTGAATAAGCATGAATAATTTGATATTTGTACTTCCAAATGACTAAGTTTTACTTGAAAATTTTGCTGCACCCAGGCAAGATTATTGGACCAGAAAAATAAACAACTTAGGCAAAGCCCGATATGCAAATTATCCCTACAGAAACCTTCTTTCTGTGGGCTATATGGGATTTAAAAGTAGAAACTAAAGTTTCAAATTGGAAGGACCATTGCGTATTAAATAATGCCTAAGGAATTGTGGGACACGTCTCATTTATAAGGAACTCGGTAGATGTTTGAGTGTACACAATATATATGGGAACTTCAGTGTTTGCACTGATTAATGACTTCTTCTCAGTTACTCTCCCTTCTTCTTTCTCTGCTCATCACCTTCATCTATCAATCTCATTTTCGTCAGAAAACGATGTCACCAAGGCTCAATCTCATGTCAGATCAAAGAAAGTTAATCTGTCTCTGTGAGTCGCTATGCCCATGTTGCCGGAGCTTCACTGTAATTTGTCAACTCGTGAAGGTCTTTAACACTGACCTTCTCAAATATTATCGATCTTATTCCTAGGCTGGTTCCCTGGGACAATGCTCAACTTGTAGAACCCAACAATACCATAACTTGCCAGGTGCCACTTCCATTTTTCTATCTTAGTTTGTATTCATATGAGTTTTGTCACTTCTCTTTAACCATCGATCCAATAACACAAGTGAAGCGATCATACAATCAGAACTTTCTTTTATTTTATTTGTTTGCTTTTGTAATACTATTTATTTTTATTTTAGTTTTTCTTTTATGTAATTATAACACCTCTTATTTTATTTAATTATTCATTTATCTTTATAATTGATGAATGCTACCTGAACACTATACATGCCTGCGCCATTAACATCTCCTAATCTGGTGAGTCACCTTTCTCCTCCATGGCAGAATATGGTCCCCTTTTCTTTTAGAACAACAAGTCTGTGCAAGTTTTCAGAAGTAGTAGCATTCTTAATTAACTCGTATTAATTATTTCTATTTAATATCACAGAGAAAGCATTTCACCTTCATCTACTGTATTGAAAATCAAGGCCTTGAAACTCATCAAGAACTGCTAAATATGACAGCAGCTTCTTGTACTGGGAATTAATCAATTTCGCAACAGTTTTCTGTACTTTATAATTCCCTTCATTTTTCCAGCAAACTTTGTTCGGTTTTGTTGGCTGAAATGTAATGTTGATTTTATGTTCTACAAAGATTTTTAAGTTTCCATTTCTCTTTTCTGGAGCTCAATGTATACATGCGACATATTCTGCTGGTTTTTCTACTGACATCCAAAACTTTTTTAAGTCGCCAAGGCCTGCATGTCACGTTCTGCTAAAGCAACTGGAGAAAAATTCAATCTCTTCTTTCTGCTACGCAGACTCAGCTTCGTTCATTCCAGCAAAGGAAATCCCCAATTCAGCAGGGACTTCATTGTTGCAGTGGAGGAAAATAGAAGTACCTAAATAAATTAATATAGTAGCAGGATGGACCATTTAACTTTTAACTTATCCATTTTTTATGTAGGATTAGATTGGATCATTGGACTACTATCATATTCTGCCCTTACGGTCATTATGAATGATTAACTCTTGCTTTGCAGATATATGTCGTCATTTTCATTCCACACTTGGCATAAAATGCAATTATTGTCCCCTCATTTGATAATCTTGCCAAGTTTAAAGTTGAAGAAAAAAATGGAGATTCCATAAATGAGTTTCATCTGCCGGTTCCATGTTGCCACTAAATCTAAACGGCATTTTAAGAGAAAGAAATTTGATTCATTAATAACAAAGAAGCATCTTTCTCTAAACCACTGCATTTCTTCGACAAGGGAACGGCTGCATTGGCAGGGTCCAACCTTTTACACACGTCACATCAGTCAGGACGGCCCTTTAAGAATCAAAATCATCTATCATATAACAAGATCAAAAGTTCCTAGTTTAGGAACGAAAAATGTTTGGATAGATGCGTCAAAAACACACAAAATTACATATTTGATTACATATCTCAGCCAAGACAAATATATCCAACCCCTATCCGGAATTTATCAGCTTCCATATGCTATCACAAGCATCAAAAGTAGTCATCTTTGCAGGGTCAAATTCAAACTGCTCTACCACCTTTTTATTAGTATCCACTATATCTGTGACGATTTGAATCAAGGAGAATCCGTATAATGCAACATAAAAGCAACTTTGAAAATGAAAAAACCTTGACAGAAAAATCATAGATGGAGGGGAAAATAATATTTTCAGAAGGATACGGCCAGAGATTCGAGATTGGTCTTCCAAGTCTGGAATTATATTAGTTATGGAAGCATACATTGAATGCTTCCTCCTGCAAGATCAAAGTATAATGATTCACTTTCAGATGTTAAAAATTGAACTGTAAGTCTAGTTCACACAGAGAAATAACACATTTTCATATACTGGACATCAAACTCAGCAAAAGATAACTCGGGAAGGCATAGCTTCCTAATCATTACAACACAATTTTGGAACAAGAAAATATTGTTGAACATAGCAAGCGGTCCAAGGTTCTTCAAAATACAGTTGACTGACAAATCCCAGGATACTACAGATGTCATGTGAGACAAACTCTGGTAACCAGATTCAGAACAGAAAGTGAACGTGTGGACAATGAGTATATGCATGGAAACCAAAGTTCAGAAATTAAAGTTAAGATCTTTCCCTTAGTTGTCCAAGAGACACATTCATGCTAACAAGTTTCCCCCATTTTTAGGACATAAACATCTTAATTCAGAAAAAATAAATGATCAAGCATCATTTACTTCACGAGTTCATGAACTTACTCTTCTTTGAGCATGTCTTGCTCAAACTTCCTCAGCATTTGCTTCCGCTCTTCGATAGAGCCCCTCTGGCGCTCCAGCTCATTTATCTCATTGCTAATAGCCGTGTTCTTATAAAAAGGAGATTTAAAAAACTAACATCAAAACAAAACCTGAAGAAAAATAAAAAGAAAAACTCTGACAAAAAACATATACTTATCTAAGCTCCTCCTTAAGTCCACGTTCTTTCTCAAGTTCCTCCTTCAACTCCTTCTGTAGATACTCCATTTCAGCTCCATCGGCAACCTCAGACTGTGCCTGCTCTGTTTTCTTCCTCCAAGCTTCCATCTTTTCTTCATATTCTGCATTTAAAGAAAAAAAAAAAAGGAAAAAAGATTTTCCTTTACTTTCTTAATTTTTTTTAACTTGTCGGGAAAACAAAAAGAGTAGAAAAGGAAAGAGACCTTGAAGCAATCGTTGAACCTCTTTGGAATCAGAGTCGCAATGCGACTGGAGATCGTTCAAGTGCTGGAAACACTGCGTTAAGTTGTTAATGTCCCCTTTGTCCTTTAATACCTCCACCAGATCGTCGCTATAAGATATCTGTTTCTCCACATCGGTCATTTTCGAGGATTTCCCCATTTTCTAGGGTTTTTGGTACTACCTTCTTCAATTTCGAGCCCAAAACAAAAAGACGAATTAATGACAAAGAGTGAAAAAGGAAACGTTTTGAAAGCGATTTCAACAGCAAAGGCCAAACCTTTGAATCTAGAAATCGGGTCTAATGAGGGACAGAAAAAGATTTTCTGTTGCCAGCTAGAAGCAGAAGGGAGGGCTCAAGGGAGAGGATTGAGAGGGAAAATTAGAGAAAAGGCTTAATATGATTAAGTTCGAAATAATCGATTTGTACGTTAACTACAGACTCGAAATCTGTTGGGCATCGCCCGCGTAGGTTCGAATCCTGCTGTCGACGTTTTTTATTAATTTTTTCCTTAATTTCCGTTGACAAGAAACAAGTTTTAATTAGACAATGTAGGTAGATAACATTCTAATTCTATTAATAACAATGTAAAAGTCATGTATTCATTATTTATACGATTTCAACATAAATAATCCTTCAGTTGTTTGTATAAAAAATTAAGCTCTAATTTCTCCAAGAGGAGACTCTGACTAGTGTAATTCCTCTCCACTCCAAGCCTAATTGATTCCCTCCAATGCTTCTCACCTCGTATGAATTTTCCCTTTCTCTCACTTTTTCTTTAGCTTCCATTAATCTCTCTCTGCTCACCTTCATACCTTCCAATGTGATGCCTGCCTGGAAGTAGCAAGTTTCTTTCATCTCCTTCCACTTTTGGACCCATGATTGGCCGCAGATATTAGTTCCTACGAAGAGACACTCCATGGCCATTCTTGCTTGCACCAGGTGCTTTGTAGTGCATCAATTGCCCATCAAAGAATGTCCCAAACCCTGAGCAATCTTACAGTTTTTCATAAGCATCTCCTCACCAAATGCTATAATTCCCGTTTCTTGAAATGTAGTTGCCAGAACTTGCCAATAGTTCTTTAGCTACCTTTAGAAACCCGTTTACAAGCTTCCTGCTCTTGCTTTTTCCCATGCTTGGCAGTCCCACCATGCAAATGAAGGCCAACCATTTTCTAGTGCCACGGCCACTTCGTTTCTTTGTTTCCTTGAGCTTATTCACCAAATCTTCAATTCCCATTTCATCCACTTTCAACTTTAGGCCAAAAGACCTGGCATGGTCACAAAGTTGCCTTCTTGTGTCCTCAAACCTCCATGGGGAGCCAGCAAAGTCTTCCTCTCCCCATCTTATTGATGTCAGTCTCAATGCCTTGTGTTGGGATGCCATGGCCTCAATCAATGGAGGCCACTGAATCCCCTCTCCGATGTCAAAATCCACGATGTGTAGCATATCTGCATCACTTGGTTTGGCTTCAAGGATTGCTGAATTAGCAGAAAAATGAGCAAACTTCCCAGATGGGAACATCTGATAAAATGCCCTGAAGGCTGCCTCAAAGTTCTTGCTAGACTCTTGCATTAGATAATCGCTTTGATTTTGAATGTCTTGAGATAAATGAAAAGCAATCAGTTCCCAAGTTTCACCAATGGGACTACCTTTCTCACTGATGCACCTTAGGATCACCTCAGCAAGCTCTGTCTGATACTTCTCTGTGGTGTCTTCGTAAGCCTTGAGTAGATGAAATATACCCAATTGATCATCAATTTCCATGGCGTCTCCCGGCACGGTAAGTACTGATGATTGCATTGATATAATATCCGGAGATGCCTCACTGCTAGAACTTATGGATGGACTAGGACTCCATACATCTCGCCTTTGAGAGGACAGTGGCAGATGTGACGGAATACTATCTTCGGTACTCTCATCCTAGCAGTTATATTGATCCTCAATCCCATCAGTGAAAAGAGTAAAGCCCCTCCAAGGAGACGAAAATCCTCCAATGGTACCTTGACCTGAAGCTGATCATCACAAGCTGGATATGGGAAAATCTCACTGGAGAACATTGTAGACAAATGAGAAATTGATGAAATTTCAGAGGAATCCTCACTGGTAGTGAAAGAAGAAGAGAAATATTCACAACCGTCAAAATGGACACCCATATTGAGGCCATAGGGTTCGAACTGATGAATAGTTGAATGCACAAAATTGTTGAATGGCCATGAAGGGGGAAATTGTTCCGATTGCATTATCTTTTGAGGATATTTTACAGGGTTAAAAGACTTTGTTTAGCGTTGGGTTTTGAAAGCCATTGTGAGTATATAAAGTAGATATGGCATGAAAAAGATAATACAAAAAAAAAAAATGATTAAAGAAAAGAAGTTCCAATCACTCTCATCAAGGTTCCCTATTGGGTCGTCTTCCTTGCTTGGCAGCTTCTCAGAGGTGCTATTGCATGAAAATTTTTTTTTTTTTTTATGTAATGCATTTTTTTATCAAATTTTTTAATGAAGAAATTAGTCGAGTAAACTATTCATTCCTTTTTCAAGGTCAATTACCTTTCACTTAATGAGAAAGACAACCTTGAAAAAATATAGTTTCGAGAAGAGCCGCTGAGTTGATATTGGTCCATAAATGATGAATTAACGCCCATTGGCTTTCTACCAGGGTAAACAAAATTTCATTGTAGTCATCAACATATTTTATAACTGGCAGGCAGCTGGTGGCAAGAAAAATTCGTGACCACGGCACTTTCGGTTATGAAGGTTGGATTACTCGTCAAAGGCGTCTTCCTTGGGCGTGATATATTACTTTATCTTATAATGCAGGAAATTAATAAGGAGCATTCCAATTAATTAACTCTTTTCTTTTAGTCCTCCACCACCAAATATTCCGTCCAATTGATGGCATATATTATGAGAGCAAAAATCTAAAGCCTTTTTAACTTGTTCGTTTTTTCTAAATTTATCAAAATTTTGTGAACAAGTTGAATATATAGCATGCGTGCAGTGTGATCATGATTTGTGTAAATGACATACTCCATAATAATAATAATAATATTAGGGTTGAGAATTTGAGATATATATACTAAATGCTGTTGTCAGAAAATGGCAATGGGAGATATATGTTCTATTCCGCCTGTCAAAACTCACCTCAATTAGACATAGAGTGCTACTGATCATGAAGACTGCTCTGGATTTTTGTCTTTATTAATTTGGTTTAATTGGCCTACAAAAATAGGGATTTCTTCCCTACCAATTAAGTTTAATATTCTTCTTCTTCTTCTTCTTCTTCATCAGACCAAAAAATGATAGTGTATATAATAATAAAATGTATTGTTAAATAGGAGTAGGAGATACTCATTCCTGCAAGGTTGCCTGATAATCGAATGAAAACGCCATCCGATCAGTCCAAGAATCAATCAAACAAGACTCTCACATCCCAAGGGCATATATTCTTCTTATTTTTCTTCCTCTCAGCCAGCCTTCACTTTTGAATTTTGATATTGCAGGAGCAAACTTCTGATCAAACATGTTAATTTATGTTCCTCTTTCCCAAAGGATAATTTTTATAACAAAAGAATTTAATTTGATTCAATATTTTGGATATAATCATGTAAAACTTCAGCTACGATAACAAATTAAAATATATATTAATCATGTTCCATAAGCATTCACCTTTGGCAAACCAAGCTGCAGGTAGCCCACCACAGAATCACATGAAAATCGAGCAAGTTTAACGAGAAATTAAACTCGCAAAAAAATGCAGAGGGAGAAATTTGACTCAACAAGCCACACATTAGTGGATATGCATAAGATAAAAACTGTTCACAAGTTTTTTTGAACACCTTCATTCAGAAGGCCTCAAACAATGCCAGCCCTTAACTTTGTTCTATACCCAATGATATGCGGATTAAGAAAATCCTGAAATTTGGAAACCCTAATCCGCAAAATAATAAATGCACAGATACGTGTAGTTAGTAACCCCCTCCTTCGGTTCCCTAACAACTTAACTTTTACCAGAACTAGAAGGAAAGCAGATTTATAGTAAGAAAAAAGGACACAGACCAAGACAACAACTTTACTCAAAGGACCTCATAAAACCATGACACGTCCAATCATACCCTGCGTCCAACATGCAGTCTCCTTGAGCTGCTCATCGTCAGACTGGAGACATTCGCCAAGAAAATCATCATAGAATGCAGTGTCTTTAAACAGAAGCTTTATATTGGAGCCAAGAGCATCTGCAAGATCACCCATAACAGCAACTGCAGCTCTTGTCACACTTTCATCCCTGCAATACATGGACAAAGAAGTATTTAGATGGACAAAACCAAAGGCCTTAACAGCATCAACATACCAAAAATGAAGAAAAGAAGAAAACAAAACTACCTTTGTCTGTCTCTGGAAACTAACTCTATAAACTTCAAGAGATGTTGAGCATAGGGCACCATCACATCAGGCTTCACACTCTTAAAACCTTGAAGGATACCAGAATAAGCTTCAAAAATACTACGCCTAAGCTGGTTGCCATAATCCATCATCTCCTCATCAGCAGTTTCCATCTGGGCACAGATTTCGGCTGCTCCCTGCATCATGGGTAGAGCATAGGGTACATACTTCTCAAAGTGCTCTCCTATTGCAAGACCAATATCCCCAAAGCAAGAGAATATGGGAGGCTTTACAGACCGGTGGAGTTCTGAGCTAGCAAGGTCCTTTAGAAGAAGGCCCATGATGCCATCACAGTAGGGCAAGATCTTGCCATCCAAGGCACGGCAAATATCACCAACAACCCCAACTGTGATGGCACAAACCTGGTATTCCTCAAAATTCTGCAGTCCCATCTCAAGATACTTATAGAACTCAGGCATATATTTCTCAAACTGAGGTCCAGTGGCATAAGCAAGGGAACCGATTGCAAGCATTGCTTCCTCATGCACAGTAGAGCTGCGGCAACCAAACACCTTAAGGAATAGAATCATGATCTGATCTGCAGCCCGAAGTATAATGGGTTTTGTTTCATCTGTACTGCTAAGTTTCTGGATGATAACCTGCAAAGCACCACAAAGAGAGGCTTGCAAGTCCCCTTGCTTTTCCCTATTATCTGATGATACAATCTGAATTTCCACAGTCTGGCCTAACTTATTCATAATGACTGGTAATAGCTGTGCTATTATGGCAGATGACTCTGCAATGTTGGAACATCTCACAACTTCATTCAAGGTTTCATATGCAGAAGACCTGAGCTTGGAGTCACAACCATCCGTACGATCAGCCGTTGCAATTAGACAACCAATTATGTCCGTGAGAAATGGTGAAAGAAGAGAGGAGCTTGGTCCTGCATCCTCATAGCCCTGGACAAGGTAATAGATCGCCCCACAAACTTTCTCAGCTACATTGGGAGCATCCTTAATGCTCTCCAGCAACACACTCACAACTTGTTTAAGATTCTCAGGAGAAATGATAGAAAAACCGCTAGCTGGACTGTGCAGTAGCTCAAAAATACGACTGAGAGTCCAAGCAGTAGTGTCCTTCACATGGTTGTTTCCATCCTTCATAGCATTAAGCAGAAAATCTAGACCTGCCTGTACCAGTGGGGAGAGCTTCTCAATTGTTGGACCCTCAAGAATAGAGCCAAATGCATAAGTGGCTGCCTCTCTACAATGCCAATCTGGCTTCAAAATGTTAGATTCCACAAAAGGCATTACAAGAGGCACTATAGCATCCCCAACAGTTCTGGCAACAAGACCTAGACATGTCCCTCCAGCCATGGAAATGTTCCAGATTGTATTATCCTGATCCTGATCCTCTTCCTGCTTCAACAAAGTTTCCAACAACAAAGGAACAAGAGATGGTAGAACCTTCTCTATGAAACAAGAATGGGGAGCTCCAGTGTCCCCACTTTCAGGACTCTCAAACTCCTGGAGTTCTATCTCCTCATCACAAATAGAGCTCCAAAACTCAATTGCTTGGAGAGCAACAGTCTCTTCATCTCCTTTTACAGCATTTGATGTAAGCTCAAATAGGGTTTGCATGAAAGGCTCAAGCACCTCATAGTATGCTGATGCTATCGCAACAAGACACTCAAAAGCTGCCCGCCTGATTTCCACCTGTTTGGACATGGCTGTGTCACATACAACCTTCATGATATAATTTTGCTCCATCTCATTCTCAAAGTTGGTCCGTGCAAACTCTAAAGCATTATACAAAGCCCCGGTGGCTGCAAGCTGAACTTCAGGACCGTGTTCAGTTAGGTTCATCCCCTGAACAACAGCCGTGAGAACAGCATTAACTTCATCTTGAATAAGGTCCTGATGAGATATTTCCTCACAAACATATCCAAGAGTTTCCAAGGTAGCCTGTTTCAAGGCTGCAGGCCTATCTTGCTGTGTCATATTGTTAAGCAATAATCCAATCAGTTCCGGCCACTGCTTTTGAGGAATCTCAATTGAAGCAATTTTCGCAATAACTTGAGCAGAAGTGTGCCTCACTTCATGAACAGATGAGCCAAGGGTCCTCAAGAGCAAGTCTTTGATTTGAGACTTAACAGAAATGTCAATTGCCATCCATTGTTGAACAAGTTGGTCCTTCCTAACAGCATCTTTAGCATCTAATGAATTCTTAAGCACAATACCAGCCAATCTACGAGACTCAACAGCCTTATCATTATTTGCAAGCTCAACTGACAATGAAAGAAGGAAAACAGGCAGGTTCTGCTCTTGGAACTGCCTCAGATTAGCCTCTGCCTCTGTCCGGACTTTTGCATCTGCTGATTGGGCAGCCAGCAGAAACTGAGTGATCTCCATGGCCATTTTAAATACACTACAACTGAGAACATAAAACATAGATCAGAAATGATGACTATCATACAAATCCATTCAGAGATTGTAGCACGTTATAAGTGAACAGGAGCAAAAATTAACAATAATTAATAAGAACGGTTGGAGAGAAATTGATGGAATGAATTTATCAAAACCACCAAATCATCTAACAAACACAGACAAATATTTTATGAGTTGAACATGGATCCAAACAACAATGGTACTGATTGGATAGAATCAACAGTGATGAATCTTGCAGCTTCATTTATTTAACTAAGCTGAACCAGTGAATCCAGGTCATCCACCAAAATGCAATAAAACCGCCATGCTGATAACAAAAATATTCAAATTTCAAGTATAGGCAGTAGCTTATATGTCAAAAGGTAATAGACCGCATAACTGCCCCACTTACAGTTGTATTGTTATATTATTATCCACATTCCAATTTATAGGTAAGTGAAGGAAAATAGAGCATTACATCTTCTTGTTGTCTGGGGTCTCTAATAGAAACCCCCAAAGTTATTCAATTCTCCTTCCCTGCCCATTCTCAGAAACCAAACAAAGTTTTATGCTAAGAAAAGAACTTAGAACATAATACTAAAAAAATCAATAGATAATAATGGACAATAAACTAACAAAAAGAACAAGCGAAAACAGATCCATAGATTCACAAATGGGGGGGGGGGGGGGGGGGGGGGAGGGAAATGAAACTTTAATCTTCAATGCTGAAATGCAAAACCCTAGGAAAACCCATGAAGTAGAGGCAAAAACATAAGACCTGAAACTGAAACGAAAATGGAAAGACAAAGGCAATCTTCAAGTGACGATTGATACCTCAAATTAGACTCCGACAAAGCAGAGAGATTTAAAAATAAAAAACCCCAGGGAAGAGCCAACTTAGGGTTTTGCTCTCTCTATCTCACCAAAACTCCCTTCCTGCTAATTTTTTCCCGTACTCTGCCTAAGCTTAGAAAAAATGAGAAGAAAAGGGGGGGAGAGAAGAGAATCAGCAATTGGATTGGAGAGATTGATGAGACGATTTTAATATATAAATAAATGAATTTGGAATGATGGGAAGGAAGCTGGAGGAGGGAGGGACTCAAACTGAACGTGGAAAAAACAAACCGAACCGACGGGCAGCGGAGCTCTGAGCCTGCCCGAGACCACACACTCACAAAACCCTAAAATTTTAAAATCTACACGTGCGGATAATTAAACGTCTAAACCATAGTCGGCCCTTAGGCTGGGAAAAGCTAAAGCCCGTTTCATATGGACTTTGAAGTCCACTATGTGTCAAATTGTCCTGATTTTCTTCTTTATATTGAAAACATTAATAATTTATTTCATTTGAAATTCATATTTATAATAGGAGGAAGGCATAAGATTTCACTTTAATAGAATCATATTTTAGAAGAAAAATCAAATGAATTATTAACCATTTTTATCTTTTCATGGGTTGAATGTATGTATATTATTAAAGTAGATATCTTTAAATAATTTTTAAAAATTAACACATTTATTCAAATGAATCTATTTTGAGTGAAATTTGACATATAAATATTTTTTTAATAGGTAGGTCATGCTTTGATGTGCACAAAGGATGAGAAATTGAGAATTCACTTGATTTGTAAACTCAAGAAAAGACATTGCTTTGTTCTATAGTAGTACATTATATTATTATTATTATTGTTATTATTATATGTTTAATTTTGAATACAAGATGGATGGCTGAAGAATGACCTATTAACCACTTCAGAATCCACCCAAAAAGTACATATCTAATCATTGAAAATGAAGATCCGTATTTATGGAGGCAGGCAGGAGTCCGAATTAATGCTGTTAGACAGTTTATTTCATTGTTCTTCATTAAATAATACTAAATGTTTTCTCCAACCTTTTGCATTTCCTAAGGATCTGCATACTTACAAACAGTTTGCCTCTCAACATTGATACTGCATTAACAGTGTATCGTATACTAAGATAACTTCGCCACTCTTCTAATCATTTGTTATATCTTATATATATGCTTTATAAATTATAACTATAATTATAAAGAAGTAGAATCAGAGAATTAACAGAACGAGCAAACCTCTTTTATTTACATCTCCATTCCCCAGAAGGTGCATCAATTGATGAAAATAATTTCCTCTGCTTTGCACTAGTTTTTGGTTGCGCAATATTAGAACTTTCCTTGATTGGACTTTTAACACCGCAGAGCTTGTGCTTCATCCGCCAAGGCAACAACATTTCCAGGCCACAACGCTTTGCCGAAGCGAATGATGATCGCTTTATTACTGCTTGGGAAACACATGGCCACTGTTCTGACTAACTGCAGAGATAGGGAAGCTTCGTTTTTGACATGTTTAGAGCAGATGTTGCAGCCAATATCGCGGCGTCCGGAAGAAAGCGTTTGATTATGAAATTCGGAGATGGACAAAGATCACTGTGCTCTAAACCTGATCCATGAAACTTTTCTGCTTTCTTGACAATGTCTATTGCCTCTGTCAGTGACAAAACTTCCATAGCATCCGTGAAAACATCATCGTAGTAGTCATCCACATCAGCATTACAGCCTTCATCATCGTCATGATAGTGATCGTGAAAGACCTGATCATGATCCCCGTCAAATAGTTGCTTCCTTTGGTGAACGCCATCTGCCTGGTGGGGGTTTTGGACAAGGCGTTTCTGACTCATCTATGTTGTTACTTCCCTCCAATTTCTTGGGCTTGCCAGGAGCCTGTTCCCAGCGGAATGGAATCTCATTACTTGAATCTTTCCATCCCCCCAGGAAATTCGTACAAGAAACTTTATTGCTAATGTGACCACCAGGTCGCATTGAAGTTAAGCATTCTGGGGCATTTCTTTTCCATTGCTTCATTCATTCCTTCTCCCATATAGAGGAATATCATTGTGTAATTGAACGATTCAATGGAGTAGGCGGGGGAAAAGGGAATAGGTGACTGGAGATGCATATGAATGAATGAAGAGATGATAAAGGAGTAGTTGTTTGAAATAGTTATAAAGCAGCTGAGACTATGGGTATCTGGTGCAGTTAAAACCGATATTTCCACTTTATAATGCTCACAGATTGGGTGGAAAAGGCACTTCTATTTTGGGATTGAGAAAGAGAACAATGAGGTTAACATCGGCCAAAAAGCCTGGAAGGAATCATCCAAAAACCATGTGGCATGAGTGACTGCATCACACCTAATTTTGCCCAGTTCGATGCTTCCAACTTTCGACACATGTAAATCGAATTACCATGAAAACAATGATTTTGTACAATTAGATAAGATTTCTCTATGCTATTACTGACCCCACTTAACATGGTAAAGTAGAAAAGATGGCAGCCGCAGCAGCAGTCTCCACAGATCTATTTGTCTGAAGGCTGAAGCAGAATGTTAACATTAAGAACTTGTTGGGAACTTGGGATGGGATAACATGTGAGAAGTGAAAAACCAAATGGCCATAGTTGGTAGCTATAAGAAGAGATCAAGGTCTTTACATTGTGAGAGGGTCTTTTACCAAGTCTTAAAATGAGTAGAAGAACGCATACTCTTGGACTATGTAGCGGCTCTCAAATATAATTGCAAGCTGTTTGAAAGAAACTCCTTGTTTAAGGGATAATTTCAAGCTCCAACAACGATAGAACATCCAGGATAAGAAGTGTTAGAATACATAAGGTATAGCAAAAAAGACCAACAGAGTGCAAAATCTCTAGCCTGGATAGACTTCTGCAGCTTCATTTACATGATTCTTTTGACTGTAGCATTGGCACCGCCCCCTGCCAAAGTAGTATATAGGGGCAGCAGCAGCATCAGTCGCATGCCTGGACTTTCATATTATTGATTGGTTCAATCCTTGACATAGAAAACAAATATTTACAAGCTATCTCGTCCGGTTTCTCCTTTCTCCTTTCTCCTTTTCCAGTAAACCAAACGCTTTCCTTTTTCTTTCCTCCTAATTTCCATTTCTCCCAAAGGCCATGGTGGTGCTTCTGAAAGCCCAAAAAAAATGGTGCCCTTCCTGGTAATTGAACAAAAATATTTGAAAACAAAAAAAAAAGGGTGGCAAAATCAGGTTGCCCATAGTAGACGATGAAGAGAGGAAATGACTATGGAGAACCCACTTTCTTATTTCTGATCTTTAACCTGCTCACGAACTTTATTATATAGCTCAAGAGTGTCGGTATGGTTGGGGTCAAGACATAGGGCTGCTTCACAATCTCTAACAGAGGATATATAATCACCCATTGAATCATGAAAAGCAGCCCGAAGATGTAGTAGCTGGAGGTCTGGCTTGAAAGCTAACGCTTTTGTGAGCTCTGTTATAGCTTCATTTTCTTTGTGATCATCCATTAGAACTGGAAGGACAGAAAAAACTTCATGTTAGAGGCTGAAAAAAGCTAGCACTATATCTAAATATGTTCTCAGTATTCAGGACCAGATTCACAATCACATAATTAACAATTGAGAACAAATAACAAGCAATTATGACACTTTGAACCTAAATTTCATACCGATTAAATATAGCAAAAAACAAGGAATCAACTTCTTGACCTTAGTCAATAATTCTTCATTCTTGTCGTTCCTTTCTGATTGATAACATTCAAACATTTTTACAGGATAGTTGATTATTAATAACATTTATATTAACATAATTGAACAGAAGTCCTGATCATCATAGCACCTCAATATCAAGATGGATATCCTTTTGCCAAATGCCAAGATAAGCAAAGCAAGACAAAGGATGAAGGAAGTTTCTTCATTTATTACTTAAATCTGAGAATTGGGAACCTAGCTTTTGCACCAAGAATAAATCCAAGAAAATAAACCGTGTCTACAGGGAAACAAAATTTACTCTTACAGCATGAAAAATCAAGGCTTCCAAATGATCAAAGATATAGCAATGAAACAATGAACTGGCAGCAGATGAGAGGCTTAAAAGAAGGTAAACAACATCTAGAACCACAGGCAAATTGATTCACTCAAACTATATATGGATCTAGAATCAACTAATTGTCTATTGAGTTGGGGCTGACCATTACAGCTAATAGCAATCTAAAAACATAAGAGTCACAGTGCATTGCAATCTCCAATCGAGGTTGAGAACAGCAATTTCCACAAAAAATATATATATATATACTGGGAAAAAAACTGTAACCTGGTAATGGAATTTACCTGCTGCCCTGTATCTGTATGGATATGTCCTCAAGGGATCTAACTGTGTTGCCATAATAAGATCACTCTTTGCCATGTCACGGTCACAGTATTCTGAACGCTTCTCATAAGCTGACGCATTGTTGCGTGCCTTCTCTATCAGCTTTGTCATCTCATCATATGCAGCTTTACGCTGATTTTTTAGATGAAATACCCGTGCTAGACCCTGATGTGCTCGTGTATGCTTGATGTTGAGCGCATTCATGTAGCAATCTGCAGCAAGATCTAGCTTTTCACAGTCTACGTACACACTACCTAAATTATTCAATGCCTGCAGAATTGCAGAATGACTCAGAACTCTAAACCAATTCATTGTGCTTATATTGCTAGAGTTAGAATTGATTCAAAAATACTTACTTGCCCTTTCCGAAGGCCATCTGAAGGGCATCTAAGAGCTTCCTCCAGAAGTTGGATAACATACGCTGAGGACTCTTGATCGAGACTGGAATCTGCTAAAGCATATGCTTTAAGGAAGAAAGCTTCAAATGATCTCTGGATGGAGATTGACTCCTCTGCCTTAGCTAGTGCTTCCTCAAAGTGGCCAGTGTCATACCATATCCATCCTTCATAGACAAGCCTTTCATGTTCTGAAGTAGAATGGTTTCTAGCTAACCGTAGACTATGCATTGCAGCCTTCTGACAATTTAACCTATAGCATTCAGTAACAGCAAACACTTAGAACAGATAGAATACGAATGTGAAGATAATATTGCATTCTACCAATGTTTGAATTTAACTAAAATAGTGTAGAAAGAAGTTATGCCTCAGTTATCAGAATCAATACCATTGTGACAGACAGCACCTTCTATGATCACAATTGACATGTACAACCCATATACAACATTTGATACAGGACAGTTAACATGTCAAATATAAGTTAATTTATTTACTAATACTCACTCATAAGCCATAACTAAGAAAGACTTGTTAACCTAAAAAATAAACTGTACTAATACTCGGATGCAAATGAGGAAAAAATTTCCACTGTTTACCATATTTTGAGGCAAAGAGCTATTACAAGTAGGAGGGAATGGAGGTTGTTTTACTTTACATCTCCCCATACTAGACCTCAACTATGCACAAAATGATGAATCAAATTTCCATATGATATCACCATGATGACCATGCATGTTGCATTCTCTCAACAATAAACTTTTTAGAATGTCATATGGATTCTATTTCATTTAACTTGTCTGTAGTTAACACAGAACCCACCCTGCCTTTAAATGTGCAGATACCTACATCTGAAAATAATATAGAAGAAAACATCACTTGCCTTATCATAAATTCGTAGTGTTAATCTTAGATTTAAGTTCCAAAAGCAAAATGATAAGTCATAATCTACAAGGGCATAAACTAGTTGATCTGCACAACAAAGCATCAAATGCAAGTTCTTCCGTAGAGCTAACAACAAACTTTAATCTATTGGAAAGAATTTACGCTGAAAATTCCATTCAACAGAAACAGCAAAAGGACATTTCATTCAACCACTGAAAGAGTTTGTCAAATTACCTTAAAAGAAGGAGAGACTGCCTAAACTGTAGGAGGCTCTTTCCTGGGTCATTTGCCAGCATATGGTGTACAACAGCTAGGGAACCAATATCATCAACAGAAGACCACCGGTCATACAATTGCATCCAGCAATCAGCCTGACTCCACTGCTGAACAAGAGGGCGCAGGAGCTCCACCAAGTGGTCACCATGCATTTTTCCATGAAACATCATGCAATTTGGTTCTAAAGTCAAAAGTGCCCGGACATCTCTAAGAGCTCCTTCATAATCCTCCATGGCAATCGAAATCCAGGCCCGTAACTCAAGGCAGTCCGGGGATATCTTGAAACCAATTATTTTATTAATTTCTGAGATGGCAGCTCCGATCTTATTGTCCTCCAACAATGAAACAGCCCGGTACTTGTATGGAAAAGAAAGGGTAGGATCCAATTCTGTTGCCACTTCTAAATCTAACATCTTCTCCTTCCCAACACAATACAAGGAACGTTCCTGATGCATCCACCCAACTGGCTTATAATCTGACATGAGTGAGTTAATCAGCTTGTATGCTGAATACTTGTGGCCACGCTTGAACTTGGCCCTTGCAACACCCACTAAAGAATATGTATGACCGGAATCAAAAGCTGCCTCAAAACATTTTTGAGCATCTTTGTACTCTTTTCTCTCAAGCATCACAACACCTAACTGGTGACATGCAAGTTGTTTCTGCCAACTTTCTATTGCACACTCTGTCAACCTCTCTAGAAGCATCACGGTAGTGTTAGATTTCATATCCCCCTCCATTGCAATCTGGCTCAAGAAGTAATACAATAAAAAGGAAGCATGCCCAACTAGAGCCAATCTTTCCCTTGCATCTGAACTACAAAAAAATCTCATCACATTAGGGCTGTGCGTAGAATTTGGGAGGTCCCTCAGAAAAACCTGCAAGCAAGCTGCCACAAGAAGATACGCATTTTCCTCCAATCCATACTCAATTAACAACAGTGCATCCTCCATGTCATTTACCAAAGATGCTAAATAAGTGTCACAAGCACACTTCAAATTGTCGCAACAAAACCTATTTGAGAAAGAAAGAAGCTCCAAAATAATTCGTGAATCAAAAGAATCTAATCTTTTTGTCCTACTATATAGCTCAACAGCTCTCATTCCTTCTACTGAAATACCATTGTGGGTAAAATATATCCTCTCTCTTCTTGACTCCCTGAAACCACCATACAACATCGTCCTAAACGGTGTTGATAGCGACGCAATATTGGACCGTATACACCTAACCTCATCATCTCCAATACAAAATGACATGTCCCCATCATCATCACAAGTGGAACATTGCTCATCCCCAATTGAAGAATCATCCTCAAATTCCCCTCGAGGATTCCTAGAACAAATACAAGGATCATAAATAGATTCCGGATTATAACCAGCTACCATGGTAGCCTTAGGGCACTCAATGTTTCTTCCACAACAATCCATTGAATATGTGCCAACAAGCTCATCCTCCCTCCTCTCATACCTCAACCACGCTGCTAAAACAATCTTGGAATGTACATCAACGGCATGCTGCCTGGCAGACCGAAGGGTCCGCCAGAAAAGTTTCGGATCAGATAAGCCCCTAAAAATTGCATATTGCTCGAAATACATTCTCGATTTCTCAAATTGTGGACACTTCTCAGTCCTACGGTAAACATCAGCAAGAGCTTCGATAAAATCAACGAATTTTAGACATGACTCAATCTGGGGCTCAAGGAGATCGGAGACAGGGAGGCCATAAGGAAGCAGGGTTTCAGTTACCGCAGCAGGGGTCACGTTAGAAGCTTGGTAATTTCCACTCGATTTGTATCGAATCGAATTAACTCTAAGATGGTCGTGAATTTGGTGGAAGAGTTTTTCACCGACTCCTTCGCCTCCACCACCGGCAGCGGTACCGCCACCACCACCACCCTTGGCGTTAAGGGCATAAACTTGCGTGCCTTTACATCCATCGCTAAGCTTTAAACTACGCATTGTGGTGAATATATTATGCTGCATCTTTGTTCGAGTCAAGGAAGCAAAAGAAACAGTATCTCTAATGATACAAAATAATAACTTCAAAAAGTTTCCAGAACCCAAAAAAAAAAAAGGACAAAATGGAAGATCTAGAAATATAAACGAAATGGTAATGAAGAAATGAATGACAAAATAAATTTACCTGAAGAACACCACAGCTCAAATAAACAGAGGCTGGGAACACGATGGCGATGTAGGGCTCAATTGGGTATTAGTAAACAGGTAGTTTTTCCCTTTTTTTTTCTTCCCTATGGGATTCTTGTTCTGCTTCCTTTTCCTTGTTGTTTTCGCGAGAAAATTGAGAGAAAGCCGAAAGGAAAAAAAGGGTAATGGAAATAAAGAGTTGTTTTAGGGAGGAGGAAAAAATCACGTTAGCGGCCAACCAGAAGTTGTTTGAGGTGTAGGTGGCCGTTTAACTCTCTCTCTATATATATCTGTTTTTCCCTGTCTTTCAATCACCTCTGTAGGATATTGTTCCCATTTTTTTTTTTTTTTTTTGGTTTTCTCGGTTTCTCCAAATTTGAAGGGAGTTGTGTTGTTGGTTCTACTTTTTCTTTTTCTCTCTGTTTGGGTTTTTTTTTTTTTTTTTTTTTTTACGTGTATGAAAATATATTACAAGGTCTCTCTAATCAGACAAATATCTCTGTATCTGGTCCAAGGTTGAACCATGTCTGAAACACGTATTATTTTAAGTAGGAATTGCGTGCGTAGTTTTTTTTTTTTTTCTCCTCTTTTTGATGTTTGAAAGATTCTGAAATGCGGTAGAAGAGGAGAGCCGCTAACATGTCCGTCCAATCGTCAACGCCAACATGTCCTGATGTGTTAATCTTCCAATCTTACGCCCCGCATCTCTCGCAAACCGCAATCCGTCTCACCGGACACATCACATTTCCCCCACTACAAATTCAAGCGCGTGAATTTCTTAATTTGCATTTGTATTATTTATTTTCCTATCAATAATTATATGAATAATATCATTTTATAATTATAATTAATTACAATTATTGGATGGAAAGGGAAAATATACCTGTATTGGGTATTTGGGAGATGGACAATATTAATCTAAAAAGAAAACTAGTGTGTATACATAATTATTGGATGTAGTTAATTAGGAAGAGGCATGCCATTTATTAATTCCTGGAGCTAATAAGAACATCATAAATGCAAATGATGTTGCTTACTTAAAAAAAGAAGTAATCCATGCCATTTTATATTAATATAACTAAAATTATTTGCATTTAAAAAAAATAATTAATTGTGATGGCTTTTGATTAAATAGGTAAGTAATACTTCATTTGATAATTTGAAAGTAGCACTAAAAATTAGGCTAATCTTATCTTAATTTGATTATTATGTAAAACAAAAAGATATAAAAAGAGACTCAATTGCTCTAATCACCGTGAAATTGAAAATAAGATAAAATCTATAAACAAATTAAAGTGTTTCGATTTAAAATAAAATAAGTAAAAAATATATAGTTTAAAAATTAGGATCGGGATTAAGAGCTACCAAAAGGAAAATAAATAATGCTTATTTGTAGATCAAGTTCTTAAAAATTCATTTTTATAATAACAATATTAAAGGATAAAAATTAGTACAAGCACTTCCCTTAATTTCCACTTTAAAAAGGAAAAAGTAAACTTGATTGTAAGGATAAGAATGGAACAAAGACCCTATCAATGTGATTAACGATATATCTTCTGCCATTCAACAAAAGTGAAGATCAAGATGCACTATTAGCCTAGTAAAAGCATTAATGCATCCACATTTTAAGTTGGGTGCCTGCGATGGAGACTTGTCAAAGCTTTGGACATGGAAGGGCCGGAATATACATATAATATCCTGCAACCACATAAATTTATATTTGACAGCTGCATATATATGTGGTCTAGATATGGAGGATCAGGAATCTGTTCATAAGTGTTTAATTCCTATATATAGTAGTTATTATTATTATTATTATTATTATTATTATTATTATTATTATTATTCAAGTGAGAGGTAAAAATTAGATATGCGGCATTTGATGTTGTCCCTATCGTTTGTGGTATGTAAATATATATATATATATATATATATTTATTGATGTAATAAAATTAGATAAATAAGTTATTGAATTTTTTAAATTAAAATAAAATATATTTTATTTAATAATTTAAAACAAATAATTATAAATTATGCATTCGAAATAATTTTAATAAATAATTATCAATAAAATTTAAATTTAAAATCTCTTTATAAAAAAAATAAATCTTAAAATCAATTATTTATTGATGTCTATTATATATATATATATATATATATATTCTGAAATAGAAAGGCACATGAATAGAAAAACTGAGTTGGTGACACAAGCAATTAATCGAATAGTAGTTCATCTTTAAAATATTGCAGATATATATATTCCCCTTGTCTCAGCCTCAACTCAAACGACCACGTCCTATGTTAGTGTTGTTTTAGGCTCATAATATGGAATGATTGTACAACAATTGTAACTTCGCTTCCTTTCACATAATTAATTTTCACTTTTCTTTCTCATTCTTTTATTTATTTATTTTTTTGGTCCGACTCCAAATAATCTAACAAATGATCTTAGCTTCTGCCTTAATAATAGTTGCCAATTTAGGTAGCACCAAATCCAAAAAGATCAACAAGACAACAATTGATATTGAATTAATTCACTGATTCCATATCATATGAGACACCTAAACATATTTTGAGACAATAAAACACTGACACATATATATATATTTATAAATATATAAATATATTTTTAAATCATTTCTTATACATATCGTACAAGTTAATTAACAATATCGTGATTTTAAATGTGAATTTAAATCTTTATTACCGTATGAATAAGAAGCTGCCTGGGACATAAAAGACGATTCATTTATAGTAAATAAAAAATAAATTGAAAATCCATACAAGGGAAATTTGTTAATTAATTTCTATAAAATTGAATTTCTCAGAGAATGAAGTCGTCAAATCAATCAAGAATTGGGCCTATTAAATTAAATGGATTACAGCCCACTGAATCAAAATTGAGCCTCAAATGCAATCAATCCATCCAAAGACTCATTTGCGTTTTGAGAAGTCCTTCTCCAAACACTAATTGGACCTTTCGAAGGGTGCCCAATAGGCCCATATGCCATTGGTAAATGATCTGTCTGTGTCTCCTTTATTTTTCCATTCCTTTTTGTACATTATTTTTTTTATTCCTATTTTCTTCCTTCAAATTACAACTTTAATCAAGGACGGTTATGTTTGGATTTGGTTTATGCCTCTTATTTCAAGGATGGTTGTACTAATTAACATTTTTTTTTTCAATAGGAGGGCAAAGCCTTTTGTACTAATTAATATTTGACAACTCCGTTAGTTTGATGAAATCTATTGCATAACGTGTGTGTGAGTGTGTTTGTCTTCTAGAATTATGATTAAAAAATATAAATAAAATATAATTAGACAAAATCACTTGACATGTTAATTCAATTTGAAACTCAAAAAATAAATAAAAAATAAAAAATTGATTGATTAAGATAAGCAACTTCTATTTAGAATCAAACTTATATTATTTCAATAAAATTTGGAAGTTATTGCGCAATACATAATAATTAATTTGCATCTCAATGTCATAATACTTGTCCTAGCGGCTAGAAAAAGCTAAATTATAATAATGTGACAATTTCAACCACAGGCTACTGTTGGAAGGTCTACCTAATATGCTCTATACTTAAAAAGGGTCAAATATGTATATTTCGCATTTCAAATTGCAAAGACTCATTCCACCTATATATGTGTTTCTTTTATGATCTTCTCCCCCCTCCAATATTCCATTTTTGTTCAAAATTTATTTTGCTGCCCGATTTGACCGTGAGACACGCTTAATAATAAAGAACAAAGATTGATGTCTACCCTCCTGTATGTGAAAGAAGAAGAGTGAAATGTTATGAAATCAAAATATGAATGCAAGAATAAAACTCGATGGATAATAAAATTAAGAGAATGGGAGGAAAAACATAAATCCAGCTAAAAGTACTTTATCTAACAATGATGGAAAAACTTATTTTATATATGCAAATTTCTTTTTCATCCTTTTTTTTTTTTTTTTTTTTTTCATGTATTAGAGCGGTTAAAACTGATTAAATACTGCAAGACCTAAGTATTATAATACACAATAAATCATCTTACATAAGCTTAAACAACAAAGCATTAGGAGATTTATGCAAATTCATCAATTCAAAACTACCATTATATGTGCCATACTAGCAAAAATATTTGTACAAAAATTTGTTGCTCTTACCAACAAATCTTGATAATAAACAACTTCCTATGTATCGAAAATTACATCTTTTTGCATGAGGCTTATAAGTGTTACTTTATCAACGGAGTCAAGAATTATCCTCTTAGGGGAATAGAATATTAATCAGTTAGTCCAAATATTATAGGCTAAGACGAACAATAATCATTTGTTTTAAGGCACATGCAACTAAATAATTATGACAATGTGCAGATGGTCTCAAGGGAACTATACACAGCAGTACTATAGCATTAGCAGCAACAAACTAAAGTAAATTAATTATGTTTTCGACCTTAATTGTGATGGGCTGGGTATAGTGTCTATATACGTATATATATGCCTTAATTTTGAATAGCAATTTATGTGGTTGGTGTTTAGAAAATTAATGAAACTTAAAATTAGAAAAAAAAAATCGATTTTCTAGGTGGACTAAAGTTTTGATTTCATCATTCATGACCATGATAGTTTGACATCAACCCTACACTAATATTTGAAAATATATAGTATTTTTAAAATATTCTTAAAATTAATTTTATTTAGTAATAACAACAAAGACCAATAGTAATAATATATACTAATAAAAGAGTAGAGGTGTGTACAAGCGGAACAAATTATAGGTAAGATGTTACGTAATGTATGATCCACAAAATACAAATATAAGCATAAAAATGAGACATCTTGGATTACTAATATGCTTTGCCAATTGTGCATAAGTATTGATGCATTATTATATTATTAATTAATTAATTAATTAACAAAAATTGCAATTCATGTAAATGATGTTTTTAAAAGCTTACTTCTAAATAAGAGACAAACATGTAACTATAATATATTAATATTATGAATAAAAATAATCCTTAAATATTATTAAATTAGGAATATATCTATTGGTGGCATTCCTCTTTTGTTTAATTTTGTTAACATGGAGAATAATTAATTAATTAATTGATGATTCTTCTCCCTAAGGATTAATTAAGACAATTAAACATCTAAATAGAAGTACTAATAATATTTTTTTGACGGATTCTTAATAGTGTTAAGAAATTTCTAAATGGCATTTCTTTATCCACGATGAGTGATGTGATGGTGCATATCAAAACAAAAAGAAAATGAGAAAAAAAAAATAAAAAACCTATGAAAGAGGGAGAAAGATGATGTTATATTAATATGGTAGTGAAGTCAAGGAGAAATAAATTAATTAACAGGAGGGAAAAAAATGAAAAACAGCAATCTAGCATAAGAAATAGTGACTCAAACCAATCATAAGTTTTGAGCTGACAAAGAAAATTTATG